CAGCACTGAGTCCCCTTGGTGCCTACAGTGTGCTTTCTCATCGCCCATTCAGCTGCTTGCTGTGAGTCACCACAGAGCAAGCCTGATAATTTTCCAGCGGTGCTTACTCAAGCCTTTGCTAAGTTTGCAAGGCCCATTATGTTAGTCACAGTCTATAGCAGCATGGTCACTAAAATCTAGATAATATTTTGCACCAGAGGAACATGTGACAGCAGAAAAGCAGTGTTTCAAAGTTTCCTACTTTATGTTCCATTTGGGGGGTTAAATACACAGTGGATACATTATGTATGAAATGTCTGAGAATAAAGGGAAAAGGAAAAAAAATAAAGTACAAGAGATAAAATGACATATTGTTAAATTTAGCTTCTGTCCACTCTGCTTGGCTCCATAGCAGGAAAATAAATTCTTTTCAAATGTCCTAGATATGAGAAATATGGCTTGCTGGAGGCCATTGGGCAAATAACCATTTAAGAAACTGCTGGTAGCAAGGTCACACTGGAGGGCTCCGCACCTATTCATGCTCCTTGGTTTGGGTGTTTCTAGTTTGAGTATTGAGAAAAGAACCTGTGAAGTCCCCAAATCAGGTACTCGCCCAAGGCCAAGATGAAATCCTCCAGAGTGAATGTAGCTGTGTGGAGAGTAGGGACCAGGCTTGTAATAATAGTCCCATCACTACAACAGACATTTGGAAAGGCCAGATATTTAGTCTAGTTTGCTCACAGGTTTATCAGAAAAGGCACTTGGCAAACATTAAATAGATAACACATATATATTTGTTGAATCAGGTGAAGGAGTTTTCCAATAGATTCAGGGAGGATGCAGGTTTGACATATTTTAATGCATTATTTTCATAAGTTTATTGATTCACTTAAAAATTTTAACATGTTCTTTCATTTACTCATTCACAGGTGGGACATAAATAAGTGTTTGCTCATGCATAGCTTCAAATCATCCAATGAAGACTAAAGCTTACTTTTCAAATAAATGTTAAAGTTGACTTTTCAAACTTTTTTTTTTTTTAGCTATTCATCCCTATATTCATCTGCTTTAAGTGTGAATTCAAACTAAAATAGAACCTCTGCGCTTCTAAAATGGCACCAAATCTAGAATCCTACAATACTGGGGTGTGGAGACCCTTGGTCTAGGTCAAGAACAGAGATTATTTGTTGAGGCCAAAGGCCAGTCTCTGGTGACAGTGAAGCCCCTTAAAGCTAACATAAAACCCTGGAAACTCTTAGCAAAGGCTTGCTAAGTATTGTTTACAACACTTGAGTTCTTTTAAAAAGAAAAGGGACTGGACAAATAGAACTAAGATATTAACAAAGAAACAAGTGGCATTTAAGGATTAATTTCAAAAAAGCTTCTGTCAAGACAATCTATTTCTGATACTACAGCTCTGATACAGCATAGATTTGTTACATCTATCTAGGTCTTGTTGGATGAGCAGACAATAGGATGTTGTACATTGCTCAGGCTAGACAAAGTGTCTGCACCAATCCCACATTATCAGGAAAAGGCAGAAGTCCTGATGAGATCTCACCAGTGACAAAGATACTTTATTAGAAAAACATCTCTAACAGTAGCAAAACAGTCATACTTCTTTATCCACAAAAAAGCCCTATGGATACCAAAGTCTGCAGATTGAACTCTTAAAGTGGTATTTGCGCACAAGCTATTCATACTCTCCCATACATTGTATTTTAAATCCTTTCTAGATTCCTTATCAATACTTTAACACTTCATACAATGTGAAAGCCTACTAGTTGTTTTTCTATAATAGTTAAGGGATGGATGGTGCCAGGTAAAAAGCCTGAATATATTCAGTGGAGATATTTTTTTTTTGTACTAGTACTAGAGCTTGAACTTAGGACCTTGGTACTGTTCCTTTAGCTTCTTTTCCTCAAGGCTGGCACTCTACCACTTGAGCAACACCTCCACTTTGGCTTTTCATGGCTAATTGGAGGAATAACTTTGAATAGAGCCAGGACTGGCTTTTTTTTTTTTTTAAGAATATCTCTAATCAGCAGTTGGTTGAATCTGCTAATGGAGACATGGATATAAAGGGCCATCTACAATATGGCAAAAAAAATAAAGTCATTTCCAGAATTCAAACAGATGCCAGTATTTTCCCATTAAAAAAAAAAGTCAAAAACACAGGCTGTATTTCAAAGCACTAGCTTAAATAGTAATAGTGATCAGAAAGGCTATACCTATTCAGGAAGGTTGTATGAAGTAGAAGAACCCTCAGAGTTTTTTGCTTAAGAATCAGGGCTGAGCCAGGCACTGGTGGCTCATGCTCATAATTCTAGATATTCAGGAAGCTGAAACCTGAAGGATCTTGGTTCTAAGTCAGATCAAGCTGTCAAGTCTTTGAACATCCATCTCCATTTAACCAGCAAAATGCAGGACTGGAGGTGTGGCTCAAGTATATGTCAGCAATGAATAAGAGAGCTGAGGTCCCTGACACATACACACACACACACACACATTCACACATGCATGCATGTACGCATGCACACATGCAAGCAAATGCTAGCCAAAGCTGTTTGGTAATTTCTGGGACGTAACTGTTTTCCTATAAAGTTGGGACAATAAACCAATCCTGCAGATTTACAATAAAGATTAGCTAAGATAGAGAGCCTAACAAAAATCCTAACATTTATAGTATTTTACAAATAGGAAAATGTAAAAACACATTTTAAAAAAGAATTTTATAAAGAAGTGATATTATAATCAAAGGACAAGAACTCAATGCTAGCAAAATGCCTCTTGACGATGATGAGAATGGCTAAGAAGGAAATCTTTCTGAAAAGACCTCTTCACCAATTTTTCACTGTAAAAACAATACCCTGATTATAAAATAACATAAGATATAACAAACTTCTACATTAGTCATCATTATTAATTGGCCAGGTATAGAACCTTTCAGATAAATTAATAACTTTTTATTTAATAAAGTTTCCTTATCAGCTCATAAGGTGAATAAGATGCTGTTAATACTTTTTATCTGAACGGTGAAGCTTAAGTTTGGGCAAGGGGAGGAGGATGAGGGATAGTCGTAAAGTGAGTAATTACATTGTAATACATTTATGGACTGGCCTAAATGAAACTCCCTGTACATTAATACTAATAAAAATAGAAAAAATTATAACTGAAATGTACACCAACTTCAAAAGATAATACTAAAAACAATGATGGAAACCAAGCTTACTTCCCTATTCCCTAGGACTTTTCATATCAACAAAAAATATTTTTGCTTTTATCCATGAAAACCAGTAGTACTGGATCTATAGTCATTTCTCTATTATTACTACTTCAAATATAATTAGGTGATACTATTTCTAATATAGCTTTTGAGAGGGGGAAATATTTTGGAAAGCAGCTAGAAAAGAACAGAACACAGTCTCAGAGAGAATGAGGCTTTTTCAGTGGTTTGCATTGTCCTTCTTGGTTCAATATATCAGCAAACTAAGATTCTTTCAAAAAGAGTATCTGATTGCTAAACATGACAAAAATTTTTGGTGTCCTTTTTAGAAAAAGAGAGAAGAGCACATAAGGTGATTGGAAGTTGCTTCAACAAGCCTCCTGGGAACTCTACCCACCTGGGTGGGCAGACTATAAGTAGCATTCTGAGCAAAGTCTGTATTCCATCCTGAACGAGTCCATATTTATTTAATACCTAAACAAAGCTATACTTTATTACAACTGGAACTGACACAGACTAAGAGAGAAGTAACCAAAAAACATAAGGACCTTTTTTAGTTAAATTCTGTGAGGATGTCATCCTCCATTTAGGTTAAGAATGCCTATGAAATTCTGTAGCAAGAGACAAATGTGATATGTTTGCCTAATAACGATGGTGGCATTAGTAACAAGGTGTATCAAAAACAACCATAAGAGAATCATTTAAAAGTTAACAATAATATCCCTGAGCTCTGCTCTAGTTAGATTACAGAATTATGTTCAATTCCAATCCAACCCACTATGGTCTGGAAGAGATAACATAAAATTACATAGAAGTGATGCCCAAGGAAACCAAGGAGCCACACAGAAGAGACACAACTTCTTTGCCTAGTTTCACACGTGTGCTACTAATACAGAAATTTCATTTACTCTTTTAACAATGCAACCCATGACTTGGAAGGGTGCTAGGCAGCTCTACCCAACAGTGAATAAAAACAGTGAATAAAAATTATGATACAATTACAAAAGGACATTGGTACTTTAGCAGAGATATACCACTGCTATTTTCTAATCTTAGACTGTATTTTTCTATCACAAGTTTATTATACTAGGAGAAAATAACAATTCAAAACTTGCTAAAGTTTCTAAATAAAATGCGCCCCCCCCCCACCCCGGGCTGGGAAGGTGGCTCAGTGGTAGAGTGTTTGCCTCGCATGCATGAGGCCCTGGGTTCGATTCCTCAGTACCACATAAGCAGAAAAAAGCCAGAAGTGGTACTGTGGCTCAAGCATAGAGTGCTAGCCTTGAGCTGAAGAGCTGAGGGACAGGATCCAGGCCCAGAGTTCACCCTCCACAACCGACAAAAAACCCACAAAAAAAATGCTTCCCCCTTGTTAATTTAAGCTTAACAAACTCTGCCAGCATCCAATTGATAGTTCTGAAATGAGTGATGTATTTGAATCCTTTATAAACCATGAACAATCTTTCTAACTGAGCTGATTTAATAACAAACCCATTGATTCAGAGATAGTCACTGAGGTGAGGCAAGCCTCCTTCCCCAAACTGAGTTACTGAAGTCTTGAGTCAATATGGAAACCCGATCTGCAGAAACCAGACTGAGAAGAAAAGGCAACTACTCCTTCAGAGCTTCTCTAACAGTTCGAAGTCCACCAATTTCTACAGTTCAACTTAAAGAAAGTCAAACAGCATGAACCCATTCTTGACTTCCTTAATAGCTGTGTTCTTCGCTATTAACTCTCAATCCTTTAAGGACTACATTACAGAAGGGATATGATTACACAATTAAATATTAGAAATAACCACTGAGTATATCCTGTTTATTGTTTATGATTTACACAGAAAATGATGGGCTGGGGTTATAGAACAATAAACCAATTATTACATTTAGACCTGGGCTTTTGAAAAACTTGCATTCCATTTTAACAGTTCATATATATTTAACAGCTTATATATAAATCCAGATCACAAATAATCTTAAAGAGTTAGTTAGCTTTGTGATAAACGATTATGAAACACAAAAGAAAACCACATAAATCTAACTTAAATATCAGCATTCATATTATAAGAAATAAGAAAATGTTCAAAAAATAAAATTATTAGATCATTACAACATGGAGAAATAAGATAAACAATATTTTATTAATATTCATATCTACTTCTAATATACCTTCATATATTCATAACTTTTTCAAAAGGATCCAAGATAAGATCAATATTTTGGGGTCTGAACTTATCAGCCTCAGCTTCTACTGGCTTATTTCCATAAAGTCCTAAAATTTCCATATTCTTTTTAAAAAATTTAACCCAACTCTCATTCAACTTTTCTCCTTTATAGCAGCCATTTGAAGGTAAGGAGCCAACAGTAAAGGACAGTAACAGATGGAGCAAAAAGAACAACAGCTCTGATGTTTAGCTCAACACTGCTGGTTGAATTTAGAAATAAAAAAAAATCTCTTAACAACTGGCAGATAACAGCAAAATTGTAACAGACAAAGAAGAAATATTTTCTTTGGGACAGCTGCTATCTAGGAGAAGAAAACCAAGGTCCCTTAATACTATCTAAATATAGTGTGTGGCTTATTACAGAGAAATCTGAAGCAATTTTAAGTTTAACCAGTAAGTGTTACAACAGATTAACACTACTTGAAAAGAAAATGAAACAACAACAACAACAAAATCACACTAGCCACAAATTTCCACAATATACACATAAGAATTAATTGCAATCTGATTTGACTCCTTGACACTAACTGATCATCGATGAATATGGCATGGAAAGATCACATAGTAGAAAACAAGCAGAGATTAGTTTATATAACAGTTTATATACATCAGAAGGAAAACATGCTAGCTAATGCAACATTAAGGCTTGAATGTAAGCATTTCCAAAGTCACAGAAGCCCCAAAGAACCCCTAAATTACAAATTCACCACATTTCATGCATGCATTGCTCACTTTTGTTTTACCCATAAAAGGATACAGTATTTTGCTGTAAATACCAGACACATTTACAATATTTGCAAAAATTAGAATGCAAGTGTTATGTTCCTTATACTTTTAAGAGCCTCAAATGTACCAACAGTGAAAATTCATTTAATTTTAAGACTGGAGAAAAGAGACAGAATATAAATATTCAGAGAAATTACACAAATAAATGTAATTCTGCATTTGGGAAGTCACATAAATATTTTCCAAACTAAATTTCAGTGAACCACTTGAATGGATATACACTCATTGTGTGCTTTACTATTTTACTTGCTCAACTGTGATATTCTAAAAGCCACTGTTCTATAGTGTTCATAGCAAATCACATCTATAAGTTAATTACTATGCCTGCGTGTATACAAACTTGCCTGTTGCATGTGATCACCTACGAAGTCATTTCATTTTCACTGGGAGTTATATAATTATAAAGGTGACTCTATGCAAGTTTTCAGACCTTCCAAAATATTTCAGAACCAAAGTTACCTGAAACAAACTATCCAATGCTTACTAAACAAATGTGCCAAGTGTGCTCTGAACTTTCAAGTTTAACTTTTACCAAGTAGAAACAGTTCGATAAGCACTGAAGAGAGTTTTATAAGACTATCAAATTCATCTTACTGTACCAAACATTGAGTATTAAATTCCTCATTTGCCTCATTGACCTTATTTGAAGCACATCCACTGTTTACTGAATTTTAACGTCTAGCCATTTCAGGAGGGGTTATATCTAAGATTTAAATTTTTGTGTTATTTTGGCCAAATTTAGCCCATTGCCAGGCACTTAAATAGTCCTTATTTTAAACCAAGACAGAAGTATCGACAATTTCCTAAAAAACTTCTCAGTATTTATAAACTAAGAGGTTTCAATTTAGCAAAAGCAAAGGGATCAGTGCAAAAGCATGCTTTAGAATTCATCTTATTTCCAAATGAAACCAATTTTACTATTGTGTTCACGGTTCACATTTGAGCGAATAGGAGAGCTTAATTATAATCTCTTAGTGGCATACTTTAGACAAAACCAGTAACATGTGCCACATAGATGACTATTTCTTTTGGAGAGCGTTGACTGATAAGCTTGACTTTACACTTAATACCAACATACTCAACTAAAGAAAATGGATGCACTGTTTGAACATTCAGCTTGAAAATGTTGAGTACTTTCTGCAAACCTAAACTCAGTTTAGAAAGGCTATTACTCTCTTTCTAAACTATGGCATATACTATATATAGCACTTTAAATATATTTATATATAATTATTTGCACATCAGACTTAGAAGGAATTTGCAGATTTACTTTGATAGACTGATTTCATCGCAACTTTTAGATTTAGGGGGCTTCTGCAGTAGTGTCGTTTGAAGGTGGGGCATCAGGATCAGGCTCCGAGGAAGCAGCTGCAGATGCTTCAATAACTGCAGGTGGGAAATGACGGCGGCACACAGGGCATGTTCCCGACTGGAGGGAAAAGAACAAGTTAACAGCCACCTGAAACATCTGAACTGCCACTCAAGTATCTTTATACAGAGAGATTGTATCATTATCCAAATATCAAATAAAATACCTTAAAAAAGTAAACTTTACAGCAAAATGTTAATACCATTCCTATGTACTTCAATCATGTCTTGCAGGGCTAACAATAAATTCAATTTAGTTTAATAAAAATTTTAATTTAATTGAATTTAATAATAATGTGACTTTTTAAAGGTTTTTGTTTCTTGGCAGTACTGGAGTTTGAACTCAGAACCTTGTGGGGCTAGGCAAGCATTCTACTGACCATTTGAAGCCACATCCCCAGCCCTCATTTAATGAGTTTTAATAAAGAGTTTCACACTTAGCCACTGATGCTGTGAAAACAGTTTGAGAAAGAATCACAGGGTATGTCCTCATGGAAGGCAGTTTAACTTGACAATGCCTTGTATAGAGTTACCTATTATTTATCTCTTATCCATAAGAAAAATCATCCAGAATACTATTTTCCAAACTATGTTCTGAAGGAGAAAGTGATCAAAGAAAGCAATATTTAAAAAAATATTTCAGAATAAAAGATTTTTATCTCCATTTAGAATGCCAAGAAGCCTCATGAGATAGCAAGCACACAGAACCTCCACATGGCAATAAGAAAACAGTAATTGTAGTGTAGCATGTTGTAAGTATTAGCTAAACTTTGTAATGTGCATCATGAATTTATGTTGTGCTTTTGTTATTAATAGAGTAACAATTTATCACATTTTTAATAAGTTTTAATCTGATATGATTTTTTAAAACATGCACAGGGTACTTACTTCCAAGTACAAATGATTATCTTATTTAGTTCTCCCAGCACAATATGTGTATACATACATACATATGATTTGTACATATAAACATACGAATACCATAAAAAATGTTCAAAACAATATATTAGGAAGCTAGCAATAATCAACTGTACAACTCTGATCTAACCTCAAATAAGCATTGTATTTCAGACTTTGATCACTTAATTGGCAAGTATGTTTCAAATGAAACATGAAATTTGGAATAGATACTGCTTTTGTAGAGAAGTTAACTGGGAAACAGTTGTCTCAGTCTATCATTTTGTAAATTAAAAAATATTCTACTTGGTGAAAATTTGTCAGATTCTGGCTTTTCATGTGTTTTCAGTACTACCAACACACATTTGCGAATAATTATTGTTACAATATTGAACAGAATCAAAGACTTCTTTCCTTAAGATAGGTTTGAAAACACCAAATTTCATGGTTGGGATTAAAAATAGTGCTGTCTATGACTAAAGGCAACCATGAAGTAATACAAACATGCAGTTAAATAAATAGACTTAAAAGGCATATGATTATTGTTAACTTAGAAGAAAGTGTTACGTATTAACATTTAAAGAAAATCTAAAGCTTACCTTCTGTAGCCAAATTGAGACACATGGTTTGTGAAAGAAATGGTGACAGGGCAGCTCGGTTGCAATATCATCCTTAATATACTCACTGCAACAGATGGGGCAGCACTGCTCCTGACCAATAGCTGAAACATAAATCATTTAGAGTAAATATAATAAATACTGCTTTTGTACAAAAGTTGAATGGAAAACATTTGTATCAGCTTACCATGTTACAAATTAGAAAATATTCTACTAGGTGAACATTTGTCAGACTCTGGCTTCTACAGAAAACTGAAACATACTTAAATCTACAATGTGTCATATAAGCCCACTTTGCCCTTACCAGTGTGGTCTTCAAGAACCAGAGTCTCTGGAAGCCCATCAATGCTCTCCTTACTGGCTGGGGGATTGGCCACTTCCACATCCACTGCAAGAGACTCTAAATGTGCCAGTGCAGTCTGAAAGACAAAAGTTATAGTCTTTAGTTATAAAGTACTTTAACAGTACTGGGAAACTGTTTTTAAAGTATCTTAAAAGTTATATTCACTCTACTCTGTTATTAGTCTTTTGTCCTTTTAACTTTCTTCCAAAAGGAACCACAACCATTAAATCAAAACATAAACACACATACTCAGAAACACATCCCATTGCTTCACACAGACAATCTATTTTATCTGAGTAATCATCAACTTACTTGTACGTTACAATTATTTTTTTCAGAGAAGCTGCTGTCTTACAATTTTTAGGAGCACCTTTGTAGGATAAACAGTATGTAGAAAGTGGACATTTCTTTTGCACTGATTATTTTTTCTCTTTACTGTTATCTTTAAACAGTCGCACAAAAAGCTTCAATTTAACATGACTATTTGGGTACACCATGTATCTTGATCAGTATTACCACTTCCATCATTCTTCCCTGCCCTCTGATCGATCTCATCCCCACCCATCTCAAGTTAATCCATTTCTATTTTCACGTGTGTACATTGCTTTTTATGGTTGCATTTGCCTGCCATTCCTCTTTCCATTTGTCTCTAACACCCTGTGAGCTGGGGTCATGCTTCCTGCTGTTTCCCCTTGTAACACAGAAGGTATGTACCACTATATCCAACTTCTTCCACTCAGACTGAGTCTTTCAGATTTTTCTGAATGGCTGGCCTGGAACCTTGATCTTCCCAGTCTCAAGGTCTCATAAAGCTAGGATGACAGGCACTCAGTTACGGGTTAAGAAGGGTCCTTGTGTATATGTCCGGGCTGGTTTCAAACTGTAATTCTTTAGTTCTTAAACCTCTCAAATAGCTTAGATATTAGGAGTGAGCTAGCAGCACCCAACTAGAAAGTGAAACGTTTTGAAAAGTGCACTTCACAGGAGATAAAATGTGGTGAGGTTATTGGATGCTCGAGGGACAATAGCAACTATTGCCTTATCTACTACTGGCAGTCAGCATACCCACATTGCCAGCTCTCAAGCATTAGTAGGTTATCTGGGTAGTGAATTTCATTTAGAGATAAAAGTGTCTATATAAAATTATAGTTCAAAGAATGGTGAAAAGAAGATTAGATGGTATGGCCACCTAGAAGGGTATTCTCTTTCTTTTTGGTACAAATTAGATGAGAATGACAGGATTTTGAACTCAGGGCCTCACTATATCCCTGAGCTATGCCTCTAGCTCTTTTTACTTTTAAAAATTATTTTTCTGGGCTGGGAAAGTGCTCAGTGGTAGAGCACTTGCCTTGCATGCATGAGGCCCTGGGTTCGATTCCTCAGCACCACATAAGCAAAAAGAAAAAAAAGTGGCACTGTGGCTCAAGTGGTAGAGCGCTAGCTAGCCTTGAGCTGAAGAGCTGAGGGACAGTGCCCAGGCCCAGAGTTCAGGCCAAATGACCGGACCCCCCCACCCCAAAAAAACTATTTTTCAGATAGAGTCTATTGTCTTTGCCTTATACCATAATTCTTCTACCTTAACCTCTTCAGTACCTGGGATTACAGATATATACCACCATGTTCACATTGTTTGCTGGTGTCTTGCTAACTTTCCCTCAAATTGGCCTCAAACAGTAATCCTCCAAAGTAGCCAGGATTATAGGTGTCTATCACCATCCCTGGCCCTGTAAAATTACACATTCTCAGTGAATGTGCTGCTTCTTCTGACTGGCGTTTATCATCAGTGATGGCAAAGTCCTATCTTGTCTAGAAAGTCTGTTCGTGGTTCCATATCACACTGCTATCTTTTCTCTGAACTGCTACTACTCAACAAAATAATATTATACAAGTTAAAAACCTACTTGTTAGTAGTATCTCCTAATTATACTAATGTAATAGCTATGAAAGCCCTTAACATCTAGTGTAATACTTTGCTGTTCAGATGGCTATTAAATGGTCCTCAAAACTTTGTAATCAGGAATATAGCAAAATGGTATAGCTACTACAGAAAACAGCGAGTCTTCAATAAGAATACAAATAAAATTACCATGTAATTCAGCAATTCTATTTCTGGCCATATACCTAAAATCTAAATCTAAAATTGAAAGCAAAGACTAGAATGAATATTGTGATTATTGGTCATTGCAGCATTATAAATAACAGCCATATGATAGGAGCAATAAAAGAGGTTAGTGGATGAAAGGGCATAATATGGCATGTGCACGTACAAAATAAGAGAAGGGAAAGGGAGAGTAGAAGAGGAAGAGGATGAGAGGGGAAAAGGGAAGAGAAAAGAAGGAGAGGAATAAAAGTAGGGAGAGAAGAAGAAATGAGGAGAGGAGAGAAGGCAGATAGGAGAGAGACCAATAATATCCAACTATGAAAAAAGAATGAGGGGCTAGGGGTTTAGCTCAGCAGAAGAGTGCCTGCCTGGCGAGTGCAAGGTACTGAGTTCGGTCCTCAGAGCTCTGGGAAAAAAAGAAAAAGAAAAAGGAATAAGATTCTGATACATGGTGCAGCATGGATGAAGTCTAAAGACATTGTGCCAAGTGAAATAAGCCAGAAGGATAAAGATTATTTTATTCCATGTATATGACGTTCCTAAAGTAGTAAATTCTATAAAGACAAATGGTAAAATGGAGGTTTGCCAGGGGAAAAGGAGAGGGGAATATAAGGAATTAGTTTCTAACAATATGAATGTACTAATGACACTTAACTTCATGCTTTAGTCAAAGCAATAAATTTTATGTTTATTTCAGCACAATAAAAAACAAAAAAGTTTGTCTTCCTACACAGGAGCTAGATTTGTCTGATAGCTACTATTGTATTTCTTTGGCTGGCAAACACAATCTTTTATATGCTTAAGAGTCTAGCATAATTTTTCCTACGCACAGACTTATAATAGAGCACAGGGTTAAGTCCAAAGCAAAAGTACCAAAAAAAAAAAAAAAGGAAAATGAATGTGCTAATTGTTGCTTCACAGATCCAAATTCAACTTTCATTTATGCTGTTTGTTGTAAAGCCCTTGGTCAGCTAACATAGTCTGAAACTAACATGATCAAACAGAGGGTGCTGAGGAGACATCCACAGGAAGAGACTTTGCTCCTTAGTTCCAGCAGCACAGGAGGCATCCTTAGACAGGCATATCTCTAGCACCACGCTCAGGCTCCTCAGTGCACATGGTTCCTTGTGGCTTCTCCTCACTTCTAAAGCACACTTAGTGTCTGTACTGTCTAGCAACTGTAGTATACAGTGACAAGAACTTCTCCTGGCACTTACTTTGGTTTTTATAGTAGTAAGTACAGTTAGTCACTTTCTTGTGAACAGCTTCTCTAATGACCAGAGACCAGACTTTTGCCAAGTTCCTGTAAGTCATGGCTATGCCCTCCCAACAAAGTCTGGATTTCAGCTATGGGGACTGGAAAATACAGCGTTCCATCTCAACCTGACAACTGTCCTTAATTCTGCAATTCATAAATTCTTTACTCATTTATCCTTAAAAACAAACTGATCATTTATTATTCTAATCTCCTAGTGCAGATGATAATAATAATATAGTAAAGTTTTTGACAATAGTTTATCTCTTTTTTGACTGGTACAGATTGGTACTGGGAGCGGTCCCAGGACACAGACCTGCAAGAATCAGATTTGGAGGTTGATTTGCTTGGACCTTTGGGCTTAAGCTCACAGGAATGAGATGCTAGGGGCCCATGGACTTTGTGAAGCTCTCACTATGGCTGTAACTGTGATGAACTGCTAACAAGAAGGCACCTATGGTGCAAGTACAGGTAACACCTGCATTTGATTTGATGGCAGTAATGCTTTGCAATAGCACTATGGTGGAAGATGGATTGTCCTTAGTGTCTTTGAGCACTTAAATAGAAAAGCCACAAATACAAAGCTGTTAACTATTAGCTGAAGACACGGTATGGGAGCCAGAGCTTTTGTGACAGGCCTATAAGAAATCTATTCTTTCTGAAAATGAAATATTATGTGTAGACTGCTAAATTAAAGTGAGAGTAAAGGTAGCTCAGTGGTAGAGTGCTTGCCTTACATGCATGAGGTCCTGGGTTTGCTACCTTAGCACCACATAAGCAGAAAAAGCTGGAAGTGGCGCTGGGGCTCAAATGGTAGAGCACTCATCTTGAGCTGAAGAGCTGAGGGACAGCGCCTAAGCCCAGAGATTAGGCCTCAAGACCAGCAAAAAAAAAAAAAAAAAAGTGAGTAAAAATCTGTGTTACCAAATTCCTAAAATAATTGTATCATTGGGTCAGGAATGTGATTCTGAATCTTGGAATGTAGTGAAAGTACAAACTTGAATCTTCCAGTCACTCTGAGCTATCTTTTACTGCTGGATGATGTCTGCTCTCCACCAAGCATCCTTTGTTTGAAAACTCTGTAATAATTTGTCTGCAGAGTCCATCTCTTAGCTCTTTAATACCAACAGTAGGGCACCACAAACCTTCAAGAAATGTAGGTTGGCATTACCCACATACAGACTCAAGGACTAGCAGCTTTGCATGTTTATTTGCTTGTTTTCGGTGTATACTTAATTATATATGCTTATTTTCTTTTTTCTCCATTTTTCTTTTTCATATGCCAGTTATTGGAAATTGTATGTATAATTTTGAATTAAAATAAGAGCATATCCAGGATGGCTGGATTTGTGGAGCAACTGGAATAGCTAGTCAAAGATATAAGGATCTTAAGACTATACACCTACGAATTCTGGGGAAAAAGTAAATAAAAACTTGATTTAGAGTACCTTGTTAGTAAAATACAGTTTACTGTTGGATAGGAGTTCAAATGTACATTGGAAAGTGTATTCAGAAATGCAAATCAAAATTATACTGTAAAGGCCAGGTGTGGTGGCATGGACTATTAATCTTGGCAATGAAATCTGAGGTAAGAGGATGGCATGTTTGAGGCCAGTCTGGTCTACACTGACCCTGTCCTCAAAAAACAAACAACAACAATAACAACAGAAATTACATTGAAATTCCATCTCACCACAGACAGAATGACTAACATCAAGAAAACAATTAATGCTGACAAGGATAAGGTGAAGAGTGGGAGAGGAAGAAACCCCTTCCATTGTTGTGGGAATGTAAATTAGTACAAGTATGGAAATCATTATAGAGATTTCTCAAAAAAGTAAAAATAGAACTATATATGGCCTAGCAATACACCTCTCCTGGGTATATACCCAAAAGAATGTAAATCTGCATATACCACAGATACCTGAACACTTATGTTTACATCAGCACCATTCACAATAGCCAACTTAGGGAATAAGACTAGGCTTTGCCTATCAGCTAATGAATGGATAAGAAAATGTGGTGTACACACAGTGAAGTATTACTCAGCCACAAATAATGAAATTATGCTATACCGCAAAAAAACAGGTGGAACTAGAGATCATGTTAAGCAAAATAAGCCAGATACCTAAAGGCAAGGACTTCTCTCATATGCAGAATCTACATTAAAAAAAAAAAAACCCTGAATATGCAAGTGGGACTGTTGGAGAAGAGAGTAGATCCAGCTGAAGGGGAGAGGGAGATAAGAAAGGGCGATGGGTAGCAAATATGACTGAATATATTACATGCAAGAATGAAGATGTCATAAGTAAGCCCATTAAAAAGAATGAGAAACTAAAAAACTTAATAGCAATTAAGAAAGCATTTTATTTTTGTATCGTTCCAATTTTTTAAGTATATGTGTTGCCGAAGCAAACACAAGAAAGCATTTAAAAAAATGCATATGGAAACTCAGCAGCCAAACCAAACAATAGTCATCAAATTATTGTTCCTCAAATCCAAATTCTCTATTTTTGTCAGCTTTGTGAAAATGGATCTGGGCCATTTTAATATTTCCTTCTAACAACTCTCACAAAGTTAGGCTCTGTTTGCAAAAGAAGAGACACTGTGGGAGGAACAGGCTTTGCTTTTGATGCTAGTGTGCTTGCTGCACACTGATGGCAGCTCTTGTAGTGAAGGAGCCAGCAGCATCCCCAGCACCCACTTTGGACAGCTCTGTAGCACCATGCTTTTAGTTATTCCTAACTTTATCTTAACTGTATTCACAGTTATTCCTATAGCTTTCCTGGCACTTAGGAGCACTGTGTTCCAGTGTACAGCTTTCCAGTAAGTTCTGCCAACATGGTACAAAAGCCACTTCTTGGCCATCCAGTGAGCCACAACTGTGCAATTTATATCAAGGTTTGGATTTCAACCCTGGGATAGAAAGAGACTCTTCTAAGTTAGCCAGATGGCTGGTCGCTTTTCCCCATATATACTTTTCACATATTCTTTTTAATTATCTTTTTATTTTAGCTATTTGTTACTCTAAACTCTTGTAGTTAATGATCACTAAGAAACAGTAATACCCTATCTGTTCTTTTCTTTCTTATATAGCTATCTCCAGATCCTGCTTAAAAGAGCTCATCTATGATCCAAATATAAAGACTGGTTAATAATAACTTCTGTGTGGGGAGATTATTCCAGGTTGTGTTTTGATATATGTTGTTTCGATGTTTTATAGTCCCTTTCTCTAATGATCTGCACATTTGTGGTGATAATAATTAACACCAAGAATTTAATATATTTAGCAATTTACCTTTATACATATGCTTAAAATAATCTGGAGTCATTTATAAGCAACAAGAGCAAAAGACATCATTTTCTATGCATGACTATGAAATACCTAAAAAAAAAGCCTACATCTTTAGGAAGGACAGTGTATTTTCAAGTTACTATGAGTTACAACTAAATAGTTTGAATAGCACAAATCAGTTTAAGATAGCATAATACTTTGTCAGTACAAAACTAATTTTCTGAAGAAAGGAGAATTTAGTTTTTGAAGAGTAAGACTTACAACAAATGACATAATGGTCATTTAATGCTAATTTGAATGACTAATCCTCTATCAAGATTTGCTAGTTTGACTGCTGACTTGACTGTACCTATGAATCTACCAATTCCTGACAACTTAGCATTCCACTAAGTATTTTGCTATATGCTTTAGCACAATCCAGTAGGCAGACTTTATTATTCCGTGTGTGTGTGTGTGTGTGTGTGTGTGTGTGTATTCTCCCTATAAATAAAGACTCTTCAAAGAATCCATGAGTGTGGTAGGTCTGAAAGGAAGCAATAAGTCATGCTTTCTTAAACCAATATACTTAAAATTGTAACTGTATCTGAAGTATCACATTGGATCTCTGTTCAAATATTCTATTTATATCAACTTTTCTTCAACTTTATAAATCAGAACACACTGTTTTACCATTCGGAGGAACAGTCTAAAATACTGGGGTAAATCTAAATTTTGGCAACTAAACAATAAATCTTTCCAAGTGGCTTTAAAAAAAAATCAAAGCTTTGCTTTGAAAACAATTGAGGCTGGTTAAGTTGATGTAACTTTTAGAATATTTCAAAAGCAGTGAGTAACAAGGTTATGATAACACTCCTTCCTTATTAAGACATTTATGTAAATGACACCTCAATCTTTACATTCATAAAGATAAAATTTATGTTGAATTATGTCTCATTCTAGGAATAAACTCACAAAATAATGGGAAAGAGAAAGTTCCACTGCACTAAGGAATGCTATTTCCAGAAAAATTTTATGTTTAAATAGTTGTTAACCATGATTTCCAACTTATCTATGATTAATTGAATACTATTAACTGGAACTCAAGCCACTTGTTTTACATTAGAAATTTTTAATATTTTCTTAAAAAGGAATATGAAGGGAAAATTACTACTTAAATTTATGCCAAAAGTTTTAGATACCAACATAAATGTGCAAAGAAATGTGTTTTTTTTTTCAGACCTGGGAGTATGTAGCAAGCCTTAATATTGTTTTAAAAGGTTAAAACTGTTCCTTATTTTATCCTCCTTTCATGCAAGTATGAGACATAGATATGAAACTAATGCATATTGACAAGATTTTTACCAAAAGCTACTATTGAAACAGAAAGGTAAGTCTAGTACTGGAAAAATACCAGAAATGCAAACACTAACTTATAAAAAGGGACATAGGGTTGCTGAAATAGTAAAAGCATAGTTTCTTTTTTTTTCTTATTTTGCTTTATTTAAAGAACATTAGAGTTAGATCTAAAAAGAAACTTTGTAAGTTTTTTTAGTTTCATTTTCAAAATGGATGAATAAATGCACAGTAAATAGGAAAAATTAAAAATTCTGTACAATAATAGGAAAAGAGAATGCACTGATTCTGTAGTGTGAAACACTTCAATCAAATTCAATAAAGCAGAGCACTGAAATATGAGGGAGCTGCTGTGTAGAAAGGAGAGGCTTAAAGCCATTAATCAGAAGCAGGACACAGTGTTAAAAAGTGACTATGAAATTGGCAGTGTCACTGGGTTGCTCATTAGCAAAAACCCAGAAAAGATGAAGCTGTAAGTTCCTAGACATGCTGTTCTTTCTCGCTTGTCTTTATTCATCTGCCAATGCCTAGATGACCTCCACAACCCACCTCTCCAGCTCCTTTCAAGATTCCAATCAAATGTAACATTTCTCATTAGTAATAAATGTTACATTTTTTATTTTCAACACTTCTTTTAAAGTTATTTCAAAGGTATCTCTATACTGTAAGAAATCATAATCCACTAGCATGAACAATGTTTTAAGTACTGAGAATCCATATTCTACAATCTGTAATCAATATGTTATTGTAGCTCAACATAGTAAGCAATCCTTAATCTTATTATGTGTCTAATGTAAGCTGTCATATTGTCCCAATAGTTCACACAAGTTACTGGCAAAGGAGGTTAAATAATCTGGCAAATGTCCTAAGCCTGACTTTTTTGAACTTCATAATATCCACTGTGGTAATTTTGAGAAAATATAGAGCATAATAAGTACAACCACCTCCATGAAGATTATATACATATATATGTATGTGTGTGTGTATATATACATATATATATATATATATACATATATATGTATGTATGTATGTATGTCTATAACTGCCAAAGCAGAGCTAGTATCAGTGCATGTGAAGCATGTGTGTATCATCCATCTAAGTTGGGGGTGGGGAATCTTTTCTGTCAAGGACCATTTGGATATTTAGAATAACACTTAAGGACTATACAAAATCATCAATACAGGCAGATAGAATGCAAGAAGCATATGCAACTATTGTGTCGTGTACCAAGTGATGCTAAGGGGCTCATATAGCTCATGGGCCAGAAATTCCCTACCTTGGATCTAATTAATCACTCTAAACTGGATTTTCTTATCTCAAAAATGTCAAAATAAAATGTTGTCATTATGGCATTCAAAGGTCTTTCATTAATTTTTGTTGTCTCACTTCTGGCTCATTCACCAAATTACTGTTCATACTCTGGAAATCACTTAAGGAGCAGTGATTTAAAGAAAGACTTCTTGTGATGAAATTCATTAGTACAGTGGCTTCTGATCTTGGGCAAATACATTTAAGAATAAGAAGCTATTTCCTGTTTTTGTGGAATAATAATAAAAAGGCAAGAGAAAGCAGCTAATGTGCCACATTTATGAAAGTAGGTGAACTGGGACAAAGAGGAACAAATTTCCTAATTATATTAGGTAGCAAATAAAAAGCCATAAGAACAAAAGAAACATTTGAACATGATCTTCAATTTCACTTCACAAATAAATTTGTGCCTGTATGCATATGTATAAAATATATATTATATAGCTTATATGATATAATTCAATATAGGAAAATTTTATTTTACAAATGCAAACAAAACATGATTTCCATTTTGCAGTAAAAACAGAAATACTGGAACTTGAGATTAAATGGCAGGATATCACGTTTAATTTATATATACATATGGTAATTATTAATCTGTAGTAATTGTTATTAAGTAGATGATAAAACTATACAGTTTTTCTTCAGTGTATTTATAAGAGCACAAACATATCATGTCGTATCCAATCAATTTATCTATAGGCATGAGGGTTACTAAAATACCTCCATAGCCTGGGCTAAGCGTTCTTCTAGTGCCATGTAGGTGAGGAACTGAGGATCCACATAAGAAATAGCTTCGGCAACTCCCAGTCCATCCGCAAAGCCATCAAATAGACTGAAAAAGCAAAATCCACAATCATGATTTGGGAAATATTATTCTAAGTATGTAATTATATTAGCATGTTGATAAATTGATACATATTCTACGAACAGAAAACCTTAAAATATGTTCATGTAAACCTTCTGGGCTGAGAAGTAGAAGAAAAAATCCAAAAGCAAAGCTATGTACTAAATGTAAGTTAAAATACAATTCTATTCCCCAATAGTCTGCCAAACTCACTGTATGAAGTTTATAGGGATATTCTCCTATTTCTATCTGAGAAGACTACTTAAAAGAACTTATTTCTCTTGTTCAATTCTTCTGATAGTTTCCATTTATTCCATTTATGTTGGTTTCCAATCTATGTATTGGTGAAAGTGTAAGAAATTTAGTACAGTTTTAATCCACCATTAATCAAGGTCTCTTTTTCTTCTCTTACTTTGTATTATTTGGGTTTAAAAGTATTTTAATTTTTCAAACTTCTCTCATTAATCTCTTTACCCCAACTCTGTTAAGAACTGGGTGCCTTTTATTTTAAAGCTAGAAAATTACTCATCTCTTGTTAATTCTTGTTATTTCTTTATGACCCTGAAGAAAAATATATTTCACTCTGATGCTAATCCTTTTATTTACCTCTAGACATACAAGGTTCTTCTCTTCTCTGGTTTTGAAATTAGTATTAAAATTTTTGGAAACCTAAAGCATGTCCCTCTTCTCTAGTCTTGTTACACTGGATATTTCATTCAATCTCAATTCTTTTAATTATTCTCTCTGAATGTAACGGCTAAAACGCTATAATTCCAAACTTTTCCTGGAGCTGCTGACCTATCTCTAGTTATCTATGGGACACTTTGTATAGCTACTTCCATTACCTCATAAATCTACCACTAAAACACTTAATTTTGTCTAAAGGAAAAATTCTGTTGACTTCCATACCCTATCAAAATTTGAATAGCATAATCAAGAACATGTACACAACTTAGCTTAAAATAGTGCTAATGTCAACCTGTGTGCCATCATTAAAAATATAAATAAATTGTGGAAACAGACAGAAAAGTGTTTGATATGAAGAATATACTTTAGCTCAGTAGCACTTGGAAATCATTGAACCTCACACAATAGAAAGGAAAATTCTCATGTAGTCATAGATTTTAGAATTATAACTAATACTAAGAATTACTAAATCTATTCTACCCTGTGATAGTAGAACCCTCTCATTTAACAGTGAGATTTAATATGAAGAAGTAGTTGCCTTGAAATCAGTAAGATGGGGATTTAACTGAGTCATATTTAACATGAAAAGATTAATTGTGATTGTTTCTTCATCTTTAAAATAAGCTGAGTAGATACATAAAAATTCCAGGCACAGATCTGACAACAATGTAGGTAGTACATTCTCTACACTCAGAACACATTGCTTTCCAAGGTGGTACTCTTAAGTGTGGAACAACTCTGCTAGAAGAATAAAACTTATGGGAAATAATATTCCTACTGATAACCCTAACCCTTTTGCTTTATATGTACTTCTTGAAGCAAAATAAATTACGCCACTTTCTATAAAAATCCCTTCAAATGACTGAAGTAAATTATCTCTCAATTATTATTTTCTTCTTCAGGCTAAACAAATTTACATAATCAAGCCTGACATTAAGTTGTAATTTGGCCTTTGCAGAATAATTCATTAGTGGTGAAAATTTTAACATTAACAGAAGGAGCATCGTAACAACAGTCTAAAACATGGCTCCATAATCAAATAATCAGAATTCATACTACTAGTAAGAGAATACTCTGCCACCAAGTACCTTCTGTTAAGAATAAAGAAGGAGCTGGGTGCTGATGGCACATGCCTGTAATCCTAGCTACTCAGGAGGCTGAGATCTGAGGATCAGGAGTCAAAGGCAGTCCAGGTAGGAAAGTCTGTGAAACTCTTATATCCAATTAACCACTGGAAAACTGAAAGTGGCACTGTGGTTCAAGTGGTAGAGTGCTTGCCTTGAGCTAAAGAGCTTAGGGACAGGGCCCAGGCCCAGAGTTTAAGGCCTTATCACTGACAAAAAAAAAAAGAATAAAGAAGACAGCACTTATTCTACTAAAAATCTCTTAAATGCAAAGAGTAGTCCTGGATTACAGCAGAAAAAGCTTTCTCTAAAGACAACTATTGGCAAGAAGTATAGATTAAACTAGTAATGTAGCATGCCTAATTATGTGATTTCAATAATATATAAAGAAATGTTCTTTTTGCTTAAGAAATCCATTCTAAATTTTATAGGTAAATAAATCATATCTGTAACAATCATAAGAAAGTCAATAAAAAAACTTTACCATAAATATAGAAAAAAGAAAATGATAACTTAAAAATGTTTTGAAATGTTAACATTTAAGCCAGGTGTGGTAGTGGTGCCTTAATCCCTTCTATTAGGGAGGCAGAGGGGAGGATCACCAGTGTAGGCAATAAAGATAGTAAGACCATATCTCAACACCATCACCACTACCATCAACAAAAATGAAGGGTTGGGGGGTACATGTAGCTTAAGAGATTATGCCTGAAGTCCTGAAATCAATCACTAGTATCACATTAAAATAAAATAATAAAAAAATGTTAGCATTTAGGGCATCTTAGCAAAAGATGTATGAGAATTTTCTATTATTTTTGTCACTTTTCAATAAGTCTGAATTTATTTTGAGAATCCTATTATTAAGCCATTATTACATTCATGCAGGTTTAACTTCTTACAATCTTAGCAGGTTAATAATTATAAATCTGACTTTTCACAGGAAGACAGAGAAGTTAAAAGGTTATCAATAAATAAATGGTAGGATGTTTTCTCCGTACAATTTTCTATCACAATGAGGTATGACATACTCTATTTAAAAATACTTCTGAAATGCCAATCAAAACAAATGAACTGAGGCTATTTTCCATTTTTACTTTAAACAAAAATAAGGAAACAAAAGGCTATGTTTTTTTTTCAAATTGTGTCAAAGTTTGCCTTCACTGCCAAGAATTGCTACTACTTCCCATGGGATTTCCATTTAGCTGTTCAGATGTCATTTCAATATAAAAAATGAAATGTATATTTACCTTATGAACTTTTAGCCACAAGATGTAAATTCTTAAGAGCGTTATTTATGCAAATGAGAAGGTGGCATATTTAGATTTAAAAGAGTAACTTCCAATAATTTGGAAACAAAAATCAATGCTAAAATGTTTTCCCTAATTAAAAAAACTATATATTTTTAGCTCTAAGAAATTTTGAAGCCATTAATTAAGCCTTAATGCCCCAAGAGGCATTAGAAAGACCATCAATGAATTAGTTCAAATTTTCAAATTAAAAGTATATTCCAAAAAGTTAAAAGTATACTCCAAAAAGATATTATTCCATTAAACTTTTAATGTGACACAACCATTTTTAAAGTTATCTGGAAAATGTATCAATTCTTAAAAGCATCCTGTATCTCACAATGTCTTCAAGTAATAGGTACTAAAGTTTAGTGGGGAGGGAGTTAAGCAGTTCATTAAACTAGTTCAATGGGTGAACAATCCTTTAAATATTAGTATATACCTACAGAAAAGAGCTATGAATAATTACTTTTACAATGTTAAAAACATGTAACTGAAAAAAAATCCCTTATATGAAACAATGCCTTTAAGTAAGTACAGATAACTAAACGGACTAATTATCCACTGCTGGAACACTTGGAGGAATTAATCTGTATATGAAGACAGCAGAATTAAGGAATGCCGTAGGAAGTAGAAAGCCATAATAAAAGTGAAGACATAAAAGATTAAATGGGAAGATATAAAAGCTAGATATAAAAGGCTGAGACTAGGTGAAACTAATGACTCTTTATAATGTTTGTGAAGTCAGAAAATAGGTTTTAGAGAATGGGTATGTTTAAAGTAGAAATACATCTTGCATGGCTTCTATAAACCTTTTTTTCTAGCCCAGTATAGTAGCCAGGCATTATGAGCAGAGCTCATGCCCATAATCACAGCCACCTTATTGGTAGATGGCAGAATCACAATTCAAGGCCAGGTAGGCAAAAAGTTAATGAAACTTTATCTCGAGGAGCAAACCAGACAAGGTAGTGTATGTCTGTAACCCAGATACTCTAACAGTACATAATACAAGCTAGTATAAGATCATGTCAGATCAATTTACAGATGATGATACAAGCTTGACCAATGGCAATCCTATGAAATCTATCTGAAAAATAGCCAAAGCAAAAGGATGCCTGTGTAGCACAAGTGGTGGAACACTTGCACGGCTAAGTGCAAGGTCCTAAGTTCAAACCTCAGTACTGCCAAGGAGTAAAAAATTAAGAAAGACCCTCATTTTTATTTTCACAAAATGTCTGTAAAAGTCTGTTCTATGTGAGTAATTTCCTCCTCTCTGAGGAGTAAGAATAGGCATATTTAAGAAAAATCTTAAGGAGGGGCTGGGAAGGTGGCTCAGTGGTAGAGCACTTGCCTTGCATGCATGAGGCGCTGAGTTCTATTCCTCAGCACCACATAAGCAGAAAGAAAAAAGCCAGAAGTGGCGCTGTGGCTCAAGTGGTAGAGCATTAGCCTTGAGCTGAAGAGCTGAGGGACAGCGCCCAGGCCCAGAGTTCAAGCCCCACGACTGGATCCAAAAAAAAAAAAAAAAGAAAAAAAGAAAAATCTTAAGGAGATCTCACTGAGTTCATGATAGAACAATTTGAAGAAGCATACAAAGAAAGAAGTGAGGTCCAGAAGAAATAAATGAGTTTATCTTACATTTTTTGTAGTAGAATTTTAAATTAAAAAAAAAGAAATTCCTGTAAATATAGCCATGTAGAAGAAACAAGGTAAAACATAGCAAGCCATTTTTCCTCTAAGAAAAAAATGACTAGAATAAACATTCTTTCTATAGCTTCATAATAGCTACTTCTAATGGAATATTGCACACTTGAAAGATAAACTTCCAATCTCTTATCAGGATACATTGTTTACATGCATGAAAATGTTACCATGGGAAGTGGCGCTGTGGCTCAAGAGGAAGAGCGCTCATCTTGAGCTGAAGAGCTGAGGGACAGCGCTCAGCCCCAGAGTTCAAGTCCCACAACCAACAAAAAAAAAAAAAAAGAAAAAGAAAAAGTTACCATGAAAGACCCTTAGACAGCTAATGTATGTCAATTAAAAAAATAAAACTAAGACCAACCCTTATAAGCAAAAATGGTAAAATTCGAGCATTGTATCTCAAGATTTCACAAGTCTACTTCATTTACATGCTACTGTTATTTGAAGCTACCTAATTTTTGTCAGTATTAAGTAAGTTTAACTGAAACATTTCTACAAAATACAACTGTATCTTTTATATTTCACATATAGAGAAGTAAAAGGAAAGAGATGGAAACTGAATTCTTGTGATTTCATCCTAAATTTAAAACTACTTCAAGTATTAATTAAGAGTCTATTTTTAAGGAATATACTAAGTGCTATAAAAACATATATACAAAATAAAAAGTAAAATATCTTCCCCATAAAAAGCATATAAATAATTAGCATATAAAGTGACTTGAGTGTCTAGGAAGAGGCCTCCAATTAGAGAATGTAGGCAAAAGGCCACACAGAGGGTGATAGCTGAAATGAGCTTTGAAGGAAAAGACTAACAACAGGAAAAAAATCAGAGATGCAGTTCCTATCAACTAAAATCATGAATGAATTTGACTCAACCAATTAAGCACTGTAATGACACTGTGCCTCATACCTCCAGTCCACATCCAAGTCTTCACTCACACTGGAGTCATCCTCAAGGTTATTGTTACCATCCAACATGAAAGCTTCCGGCTGTGCAAATTCATTGGCAGGCTCATTTCCTTCATCACTGCTGCTTTCATTCACTTCATTGTACTGTAACCAAGGGATTTCTCCCTCTTCCAAAGATGTATGTTCTCTAATATAAATAAGACAAGAAAAAGAAATCTTAAAACACATTATAACATTGTTTTCTACAGAATTCTATTCAATGTAAGTATTTGAGTTCTAATCTCATGATACTTTTGACACTAAAACACATTTTTATTTAAATGCCAAAATGTACAAGGAATAATTTCTAATTGCACAGGAACATATTTAGTCAATTTAGGCATTATCTATGTTCCTGCATTTTCTTTACTGTAAGGAAAAAAAAAACAAGAGAAATTCATCTGAGACTATTTGCATTTTATTTTATGTTTTGTTTGCTTTAAGACAGGGTCTCAATATGTAGCCTGAACTGGCCTTGACTTCTCCATCCTCCAGTGTGTTCAGATTACAGATGTACATCACCATACCTGGTGATTGATTTTGAGTAGTTTCCCCTCACAAAGTAAAATTCAAATTCCTCCAATTGTCACATTAATCGCCATGATCCATGCTTTACCTTCAGTCTAGTCAGATGTTGTTGCTCAACATTTTGGCCCCTGTCTTTAATACTCCTAACTCCTCTGTTTATTCTTGGGAACACAAAAAATATTTCTACCTTGGGCACTTTTTTCTATCTGAAATATTCTTTCATCAGACTTTTTACATCACTGTTCCCTTCTTGGTTTTCAGATCAGATTTCATGTCCCTTCCTTAGAGTAGCTCTTCAGTAACTAGTTATCATATCACTCTACATTTTTTAAGTTATAGGATTCATTTTTGATATTTTCTTGTTTATTGTTATTCTACTTTCATTAGAAATATAAGTTCATGGGAACAGACATACAAATCAATGGTATGCATCAAGGAAAATAAGTATTTCAAAACAGGAGGCCAGCTCTTCTAATAAGCTGTACTGAAACAACTGGCCATCAGCCTGGAGGGAAGCTAAATCCTTTGGCCTCTATTTGCCCTTAAACAAATCTGCTATAGTTTTCTGAAATGTATGTTAATGCTTCCACTGCTACCATCATTAAAACAATGAAAATATTAGAATAATCATGACAGAAAATTTTATATAAATCTTATGTAATTCTAAGCACAATGGAACACTGAAACTAGAAATGGGTAAGTTTCGCAATACACAGTAAATAGTCAAAACACCAAAAATATGATCACAAAACTTAATGAAAAAACTTACATTAAAATACATGCCATACAAAAAGACATTAATGCAAACCAATAAATGATCAACATGACCAATAAAAAGGAGCAAAAGATATGTTTAACATGCAGAAAAGAAAATTTAAAGAGTTTTAGATAAAGAAGATGTCCTTTCTCACAGTAAGGTAAATGGAAATTGAGTAGTGAAATATATTTCCAACAATTGACAAAAGTAAAAAAACCTTTCATAACTTTATCAGAGGTGCTGATAGAGATCTGAAGACAGTACTGGTAAGTTTCTTTGTAGGGACTTAGCAATAGTTACAGAGAAGCATGTGCATGCCCACTGACCTAGTGGTTTTGCTTCTACATGTTTATTCTAAAACAAACATACACAATGTTTTTGTTATAACATTACTTCTAACAGAAAAAGGTATGGGAAAGTTTAGGTGAAAAGAAAAATCAGTGTACCATGTTTTATTATACCATGTAGATAATAAATAATAAAAAACTAGAGCAAGAAGGATTAGAAGAAAGTAGAAGTGCTGAGTTCAAACTTCTATACCACCAAACTGAAATCATTTCCCCTAAAGTCAAGAACAAGACAAGATGTCTACTCTCCTCCACTCATATTCAATATAGACAGAGCAGTAAGACAGGAGAAGAAATAAAAGGGATTCAAACAGGGAAAAACTCAAATTATCCCCACTGGAAGATTATATGATCCTATTCTTAACAGAGCATAAAAAGTACACTCAAAAATTTTTTAGGCCTGATAAACAAACCTTCAAAAATTTAGCTGGATATAATATCAACATACAAAACCCAGTAGCTTTTCAATATTCCAACAAAGAACAGTCTGAGAAAAAAATCAGGGAAACAATTCCATTCATAATTGCCTCAAAAAAAACAAAATACTTATGTATTAATTTAACTAAGGAAGTGAAACACTTCTATAAGTAAACTATAAAACTTTGAAGAAAGAAATTGAAGACAGAAGATGGAAAGTCCTCCTATGCTCATACAGTAACAGAACTGATATTATGACGATGGTCATATTGCCAAAAGCAATCTACAAATTCAATTCAAAATCATTCTTTATACCCCAAGATAAGTATTCAAATGTTTTTCCCTTCTTGTGATTGTTTCTAACATATTTATAAGATGATTTCTTTGTTGCTTTGTATGTCCCTCCCCCACGGTATAACCCTTGCCTTCATTGTATTTGATGTTGGTATAATTTGTGGAGGGGAAGGAAAAAAACAAATCGTTTAAGGGATACAGGTGGGCCATTGCAACATGAGATGTATAAGTCGTTATGTTGAAAAACGAACTTTACAACTTTGGTGTGGGGGGGGGGATGAGGAGGAGGGGAATGGGAAGGGGTAGGGAAAACAAAGGAGGAGGCAACAATGCTTGATTTGTACTCATTACCTTGCCCATGTAATTGGTAACCCCCCTGTATGGTATTTGCACAATAAAAAAAAAAGATTTAAAAAAATAGAAAAATTAATCGAACAATTATAGGAAATCAAAAAAGTCAACAAAAGTAGTTCTGAGTAAAAAGAGCAACACTGAAGGTATCACAATACTACATTTCAAATTATAATATAGTAATAAATAACTGCTTGGTATTAGTTGGACTCAAAGACCAATCCAATAGAATTGAAGATTTGGGAATAAAACTGCACAGTTATTCCACGTAATTTTTAACAAAGAAAATAAAAGGACACATGAGAAAGATAGCCTCTCCAAAAAATGGTGCTAGGAAAGCTGGCTATCCACTTTCAGGAAATTGAAATTTGACTCTATCTCTTACCCTACACAAAAATCAACTCCAAATGTATCAAAAAAACCCAAAGTAAAACTTGAAAGTTTAAATCTAATGCAGGAAAACATAAGGAAGATCGTGGAACTTATTTTCTGATTAGGATTCTAAACTGTACAGAAAACAAGAACAGGAATTGAAAAATGAGACAACAAAGAAAAAAGTGTCTTCACATCAAAAGAAACAATTATCAGAACGGACAGAAAAATCTTCCTTATCTATTCCACAAATAAAGGACTACTATCTAGAATATGTATAAGACTAAACAGCATACTTGTAATCCTAGCTACTCAGGAGGCTGAGCTCTGAGGATCAAGGTTCAAAGGCAGCCTGGGCAGGAAACTCCGTGAGACTCTTATCTCCAATAAACCACTCAGAAAACGGGAAGTGGCACTGTGGCTCAAGCAGCAGATTGCCTGCCTTGAGCTGAAGAGCTGAGGTTCAGCACTGAGGCCCAGAGTTCAAGTCCCACGACTGACCAAAAAATAATAATAATAATAATATAGTAATCAAATGAGCAAATGAAATGAACAGGCAGGTCTCAGAAGAAGAAATATAAATGACTGACACATCATACTTAGCCAGAAAGGAAATGCAAGTCAAAAATGCACTTAGATTTGAACTTAGCCAGTTAAAATGACAATCAAGAAAACAACAAAGGGGGGCTGGGAAGGTGGCTCAGTGGTAGAGCGCTTGCCTTGCATGCTCAAGGCCCTGGGTTCGCTTCCTCAGCACCACATAAGCAAAAAGAAAAAAGCCGGAAGTGGCGCTGTGGCTCAAGTGGTAGAGCGCTAGCCTTGAGCTGAAGAGCTGAGGGACGCTTCCTCAGCACCACATAAGCAAAAAGAAAAAAGCCGGAAGTGGCGCTGTGGCTCAAGTGGTAGAGCGCTAGCCTTGAGCTGAAGAGCTGAGGGACAGCGCCCAGGCCCAGAGTTCAGGCCCCATGACCAGACCCCCCCCCCAAAAAAAAGAAAACAACAAAGGCTGATGAAGATGCATAAAAAAAGAAACATTCATATAATGCTGTTGTGAATGTGAACTAGTACACTCACTGTGGAAATCAGTATGGTGGCTCTCCAAAACACTAAAAATAGACCTTCCCTATGACCCTGCCATAGCACTAGTGAACATATATGTGAAGGTGTATAAATCAACACACAAGAAAACACACTTTCACATCTATATTTACTGCTGCTTTATTCAGAAGAGCCAAATGATGGAATCAGTCGAAGTTCCCCAAAACAGATAAATGGGTAACATATAGAATGCTACAAAACAATAAATAAAAATGAAATCATGTGATTTCTAGGAAAAGGATGGAAGTAGAGAATATCATGATAGGCTAAGCTCAAAAAGCCAAATATCATATATTTTGCTCATGTGTAGTACCTAGACTTAAAAGACATATTGAGCTTGGCGTCAGTGGCCCATGCCTATAATCCCTAGCTACTCAGGAGGCTGAGATCTGAGGATCTTGGTTCAAAGCCAGTCTGGGTAGGAAAATCCATGAGACTCTTATCTCCAATTAACCACCAGAAAACTGGAACTGGTGTTGGTGGTTCAAGTAGTAGAGTGCTCGCTTTGAGCTGAAGAGCTCAGAGACAGCACCCAGGCCCAGAGTTCAAGCCACATGACCAACAACAACAAAAAGACATATGGACTTGTACTTATATATACATATACACATACACAGACACAGAATATAATTCTAATTATGGGACTATACGGGAAAATGAAGGGAAAAGGAGAGGAAAAAAGAAAGGTGGAGAATGAACAATTTCAAAATACTGTGCAACTATGTATGCAAACATAAGACATCCTAGTAACAGGGGAATAGGGGCAAGGGAAAGAGAAAGCAATACAGAGTGTTACACTGATTAAAATATAATGTAAAACGCCTTACTACTGTTAACACTAACAACAACAAAAAAGAATGAAAGGAAAGTAAAACAGGCTCTGATGGTGGGGTATGTATGAGCAGGAGTAGGTTATGAAGAAGAGGGTGAATGAGGATTAATATGAAGTAGCATACTTGGATTTATGAAAACTGAACAGCAAAATTGGTTGAAATTGTCTTAAAAAGGGGAAGTAGATAGAGATGAGTGAGGGTGAAGGTAATCAGAATAAATTATATACATGCATGGGAATGATACAATGAAACATTCTTATACAAATAATTTGTTAATAAAAAGCAAAACAAAAACCTAACCAGAAGATACTCATAGCATAGCTATTCACTGTGCTACTAGCCATATTTAAAAAGAGAAGCAGAAATGGTTAGGGATACAGTTCAGTGTTAAGAGCTCTTGCTTTGCATGTACAAGGCTCTGGGTTCTCTCCCCAGCATTATGAAGGAGGGGGAAAAGGAAGGAAAAAAGGATGAAAATGTGGATGTGAATGTGTATGCATGCATGCTTTTATATACATAGGTTATCTTTAGAAAGTTACAAAGGAAATTGATTACAATATTCTTTAAGTGGTCTCTTCATACTAAGTCTACTTTTTATTAGGTCAATAAGAATATATTTTAAGAAAAAATGGAAAATTATAATTTCTTAGAAAATTCATCCTCTGACAGATGGGAATTTTATCTTTTACATAAAAGAACATAATCAGGAACTTTGGTATTTCCTCTTTTCCTACAAACTTAGGTAAAAATACATTTTGAACCCTTGTATAATTCTAAGCATGTTTCATCAAGGTTAGTTTCATTAAAGTTAGTTTATTATTTAGCTGGAATCATTGTTAGAAAATAAAACTGAGGCTAAACAAATAATATCACAGATTCACCAAAATCAAGTAGTTCTAGGAGCTTTTTCTAGGAGCAAGTTTAAAAAGGAAAAATATGAATGAAACTACCATCTGGCATATTAATACACAAGACCAAATCTGAAAATCTGAGTTAATTAACAAATATCAAGTTCCAAAAAATTAGACAGAAGGGACTTTAAGAATGCACATGCCTTTTACAATATAAAAGGTCAAGATCAAAGTCTTGGCAAACTTAAATTATAGTTTAGATTTTAAGGGATATTGTAATACAATAAATTTCAGTGTTAAGAGCAAACAAACAAAATGCATAATGGAAAAAACCTTCACTTCTGAGTAAATTTTGGTTTAACACTGGGGCCTACATGTGGTTCTTGCCTACTCACTGTTTCAAGCCCCACTCTCATGCCTTTTTCCACTACTTCCTATCCTTTTCAGTGTCTGTTCTTACCATTCCTTTACATATAAAGCTCTTCTCTTACATAGCCAACAAGTTTGTTTATTTTTTTAAATTTTGTGACAGTACTGGAGCTTTTTCACTCAAGGCGAACACTCTACTACTTGAGAACACTCTACTACTTGAGCCATAGTTCCACTTGCAGCTTTTTGATGGTTATCTGGAGATATGAGTCTCATGAACTTTCTTGCCTGAGCTGGCTTCAAACTTTGATCTCAGCCTCCTGAGTAGCTAGGATTATATGCATGAGCCCCTGATACCTAGCTTATCAATTCTTTTTTTGTTGTTGTTGTTTTGTTTTGTCCGTCATGGGCTTGAACTCTAGGCCTGGGCGCTGTCCCTAAGGCTCTTCAGCTCAAGGCTAGAGCTCTACCATGGTTGAGTATGAGTTTACATGTGCACACATGTGAAATTAACTTAGAAGCCAGAAACTTTCTTACAGGGAAAATACCAGAACAAGAGTCAATGAACAGTGAGCCACAGGTTATTTCCAATCTGCCACCATTTCTACAAATAAGATCTTGTTGGACTACAGTTAAACCAATTCATTTACATATTGCCTATGGCTACTAACAGCTGAGAAGCTACAAAAGAAACTATCCACACAATGTAAAAAAAAAATTATTATCTAGCTTTTCACAGTGAAAGTCTGGCCATTCCTAGACAAGTAGTATTCCTATTAAAGTTAAAGAAATCATCAATCAAGTTCTGGAGATGCCATTTCCAGAATGCAGTTAGAGAAGAATAGGAAAACTTCAACTTTTGCAACTGTCCCCACTGCTGTGAGTGAATCACAGATCTGTCTCCTTGGCTATTACCTCCCTGTATAGTAATGACAACTTTCATATACTTCTTCCTAACTCAACAAAAATGACTTTGAAAATGCCTAAATTTTCTTTAAAATGTGAAGTGAAACCAAGCATTATATCTCTGTAAAAGATAATGTTGTACCTACTGGTACAACACAGAGCTTATAATTAATAGTATACCCAATATTTGAATGTGATGTATATGCCATTCTTGCATATGCACAAAAAATGCTCAATCTCACTGCTAAATTACCCTTCCTGAAGAGATAATTCCTGGTTTTCTTCTTCAGGACCACTGCTCTCACTCTGTAACTCAGGTTCATTCTCATCTTTTCCTGGCAGTGTCTCCCAGCTCTCATCACTTGAGGACTGATCTTTCTCTGTGCCAGAAAACCGATGAGGCAAAGAAGCAGACCACTCCCCATCACTGCATTCTGAACTGTAAATCAGAGCAAAAATAATATCAATACATGTTCGATTGTTTTCTTCATTATCCTTTGGAGTGTTACCAGGTATCATGAGATAAAGGGCACTACTAATACTTAATCCAGCTAAGACTAATTCAAGTTTTAAAGTACTTTGAATATAATTCTTCTAAATGATTATGCTGTATGGCAAGTTATGAAACACATCACTAGTTTTTTTCACTGAGGTATATAATGCTATATAAATGCTTGTCATAGTTTAGACAGATTTCTAAGTAAATTTTTATACATAATTTGGTAATACTATCTAGAATAAATTATAGACTTATTACTCAATATTTATTGACCTGAAACTTTATTTATTTACATAATGACACTTATTACTTATTATGTATAGTTTTCTACTATTGCCATGTAGTAAAAACTTGTTTCCCTCTTACTTTTACATACTCATATACAAAAGAACCACACCGTCCTGGGGCTTGAACTCTGGGCTTGGGCGCTGGCCCTGTGCTCTTCAGCTCAAGGCGAGCACTCTACCGCTTAAGCCACAGCACCACTTCCAGTTTTCTAGTGGTTTATTGGAGATAAGAGTCTCATGGAGTTTCCTGCCCAGGCTGGCTTTGAACCGTGATCCTCAGATCTCAGCCTCCTGAGTAGCTAGGATTACAGGCGTGAGCCACCAGCACCTGGCAAGAACCACACTTTTAAAAGATATTCAAATTAATGAAAAGAAATGCTAATAAATCTTTACTGAACACAAACTAAACTTTAGTTTGACAATGTTTAGATAAAGCCACAAAGGTATAATAAACGGTTTAATAAAGAACATCTGAAAATTGCACCTAATTACATAACTTTGACTAATTTGGTTATATTTTATTTTTAAAGATTAGCTTACACTACCAAAGGTTTAAGTATTAGTGATCAGTGTTGGAAGTTTTAACCCAGGTAATGGTGTCTCACACCTATAATCCTACCTACTCAGCAGGACTTTGGCTCAAAGACAGCCTGATCAGAAAAGTTCACCTGTTTTCCATCTCTAATAACCACCAACAAGCAGGATTAGAGGTGTTGTTGAAGTGGTAGAATGCCACTGTAGCAAGCCCAACGCCCTGGGTTAAACTCTAATATTGCCAAAAAAGAAAAAGTAAGTCTTGAATTTTTCCTCCAACATTCTGGTCAAGAACCTTAAAGATTTCCCTTTGTTCACTTGACTTTTGAAAAATAAAAAGTTTATTTTCTGTAGGAAGTGTTAAGTTGTATATATCTAGCTAGTGGGTTCCCTTATTCTAGAAATAATTGAAAAATCAAGATGTTATTAATAAACAGAAGCACTAATCTGAGCTCTGAGATATTTAATGAAAGATAAAAACAAAATTAGCTTTTACGTTTCAGTAAAAAAAAAGGACCATAGAGTATAAATAGCCGAGAAAAGGAATGCAATACACCTAGGTATAGCAAACAAAAAAGTCTCTTTCAATTGAGTTTAAGGAAAAGTCACTTGCATTCTGTAAAAATTTGTGATCCAAAGCATAAAAAGTTTTAAAAGGTTTTAAAATAGGTTTAAAAAACTTATTACACTAACTTACCTGATGACAAAGCTCCTCAAATTCAAATCTATACTAATAAGTCTGATTTTTATCTCTTTAATAATTAAGAGTAGTATTTCTATATGAATGTTGGCAATTTTAAGAGGCTTAGATTAAAGATCTGTTTTTATTACTGATTGATTTGCAGTCCTATGGCTTGAACTCTGGGCCAGGGCTCTGTCCCTGAGCTTCTTTTGCATAAGGCTAGCGCTCTACCACTTGAGCCACAGTACCACTTCTGGTTTTTTCTGAGTAGTTTATTGGAGATAAGAGTCTCACAGCCTTCCCTGCCTGGGCTGGCTTCAAACTGTGATTCTCAGACTCCTGAGATCTAGAATTAAGGCTTGAGCACAGGTGCCCGGCAGGATCTGTTTTTAAAACATTAAACTCAGGGTATGATCCTGTCCAGAAAAAATAACATGAAAAGTATGTACTTCGGAAGTTTACTGAAATGACTGATATAATATCTCTATTGCCAATGCAAAATGAATGCCTATAAGCTTATAAAAGCCTACATAAAAAACTAGCAAACTACATTCAGCCTTTGGGCCAAATCTCTCCATGATGCTTGTTCCTTAATTGTGAAATAAAAATGATTTTTACATGTTTCATTCTGTCTCTTGGTCAGCAAAGTATTTACAATCAGATTTTTAAATAAACTTTGCAAAAAGGAAGTCCTGAAGGTTACTGCGTTTCTATTATGTAAGGAATAGGATCACTAAAATGACAAGACCACCTTTATTTGCCCAGCACAAGAGGTATAAAAGCTACAGATAAAAACTGCCATTTTGCTAGATGCTGTAGGCTAACAACTGTAATCCTAGCTACTCAGGAGGCTGAGATCTGAGGACCATGGTTCAAAGCCAGCCTGGGCAAGAAGATCCCTGAGACTCTTATCTCCAGTTAGCCACCAGAAAACCAGGAAATGGCACTGTGACCTAAGTGGTAAAGCACTAGCCTTGAGCTGAAGAGCTCAGGAACAGTACCAGACACAGAGTTCAAGCCTCAAGATTGATCAATACACAAAAAACAAACAAACAAAAAAAACCCTTGCCATTTTTCTCCCACTCCCCCTTACCAAGTTGTAAAGTTCATTTACAACATAGTATCTTGTGTCACTGTTGCACTGGTTCACCCTTTGTTCTTTGTTTCACCATTCTGTTATTCCCTTTACCTTCCCCAAATCAGGTAAGTGTATATACAAGACACAAGGTACCAGAATCAAAAACAGTGACTACAGGGGACAAACCAAAGGGAGGGAAAAACAAGAAAAAAAAATGTCATACAGTATATTAAAAACAACAACAACAAAAACCCTCTTGTTTCCATATCTTGGTGTTCATTTTGACTATATGGTCATATGAATGGCCATTATCAAGAAACAAACAACAGTAGATGCTGAAAGGGATGTGACTAAAAGGGAATGCTACTACACTGCTGGTTCAACCACTCTAGAAAGCAGTATGGAGGTTCCTCAAAAGACTAAACATAGAATTACCCTATGACCCAGCAATCCCACTATTGGGCATTTACCCAAATGATCACAAACAAGGCCACACTAAAGCTATTAGCACAACTATGCTCACCACAGCATTATTTACCATAGCTAAGGTATGCCTCTGGGTAGATGAAGAGATCAAGAAAATGTGGTATATATAAACAATGGCATTCTAAGCTTCCATCTGAAAGAATGACACTGCTCCATTCATAAGGAGATAGAAAGATTTGGAAAAAAATCTTATTAAGTGAAGTAAACCAGACCCAAAAGAAACACAGGCTCCAGGCTCCGTGGTTTCCCTCATTTGTAATAATTAGTATATGTCTAGAATAATCCTAGCAGAGGATCACAATAGCTCTCTCTTTTTCTACCTACTTTAATCTTGTTATCTAAAATAAACTCTTTAGAAACCTTTAAAAATAAGAGTTTGCAGATCTTGGACTCATATTACTATTGTTCATTATATACATAACTCTTACTTTTCAAGAGATAACTTTTGAATGTATATTTCCTCACCCAGCACTGAACACCATACTTTGAAAGTCATTATTCATTAAATATTTTTCAGTTTCCCTTTTTCTTTCCAGAGATACATTCTCATTAAATAAAATCTATCTGTATATGCATTTTTATTTTCTATGCTAAAGGCATTTTCATATCCTAATTTTGTAAACTATGTATCTTTGACTCTTCCTTATTTCTCCATATTCAAATCCTTTCTTTCTATTCTTTGCACAATGACTTTATCCTAATATGTTTTTCTCCATTTCTACTGAAAAAAAAAATCCCTAGCTCAAGTGCTTTTCCCCAAACCAAAACCTATATACTCAATTACTAATTGGTCTTCCTAAATTTAATCTTACTCCCTTAACTTATTTGCAAAATGCATTCTGGATATCTCCAGCATTTCCACTTATATTAAATGGTACATTTACAGTAATACCAAAATGTTTACTAGCTCTTCTCTTTCCCACTAAATGTTTACTAGCTCCTTTCTTCCCCTCTAGCCTCAGCCCTGTGATTTTCACCCTCACAAATGTTGTTGCAGGAAGTGGCACTGTGACTCAAGAGTGCTTGCCTTGAATTAAAGAGCTCAGGGACAGCACCCAGGCCCAGAGTTCAAGCCCCACGACCAACAACAACAAAAAAATGTTGCAGTTACACATATGCACCTTATTCTAAGGTACAACAAGTTAGTTTGCCTGGATTGGAATCCACTACTCTGCATCTTTATATTCTACCTGCATGACATTATTTTTGTCTTTTTTGTTTTTTTTTTAACTGTGAAAATACCATACAGAGGGGTTACAATTACATGAGCAAGGTAATGAGTACATTTATTATCAAGCATTGTGTCTTTGCCAAAGGAAACCAACTCTACATCCTCTGGGGTCATCCAATCAACTTTAGTGTTTCTATACACCAAAAGCAAACAAATTACACCATAGCCAGTCACCCAAATTAGATCTTCTGCCTTTTCATTACTTAGAAAGTAAGATTTTATTTTTCACTTTTGATGAGTATGTAAGATAATACCCTTATTTTGCCTTTTGGTTCACAATGCCTGAAATACTACATGGACACCATATAAGAAAGTTTATAAATCTTTGGGTTCCAAAGAAGAAGAAACATTACTATTTTGACTATAATTTCTGCTGGCGCGCGCATGTGCGTGCGTGTGTATGTGTGTGTGTGTGTGTGTGTATGTGTGTGTGTGTAATTAAAAAAAGCTAACATTTCCTTGAGGTATGAGAATGAGAAACTGCTTTGGTTGATTGTACTTCCATTTTATTTCTACTTGAGATTTATACTGACAAGTTTTTGTGTTTGCCTTTTGTTTTGGTCTATAAGTTACATGGTTAAAGTCTATATATGAAAAAAAGTTTCTTTGCTCTAACTGAATGTACAAAGTTACATAATAAATTACATCTGAGTAAGTTATCCTTATCTGTTTATGAATATAACTCAATGGTAACTAGAGACAATATAAAGAGCAAACAAATACTTTTAAAAAAAAACTTTACCCCTAAACTGCTATAAATGTGAACCCAAGATTAAAATGTTTGAGAAAACATTTAAGTATGTTTTTAAAATCTTTGTTTTGGCTGCTAATAGATGTTTTATTTGCATTTCAGAAAAGGGCTTTTTTATGACTCTTAGCTAGCTAAAAATAGAAATGAAGAGAATTCAGCCTCACAACATGCAAGCTATATACTGCCTTCTTTGTAATTCTGGTGAATTCTATGGGAACAAGGATCATTTATATATATTTACAATGCCCCTGGTACAAAAGTCTGGCACTTAAGAAAGTGTCAATAAACACCTGTTTAATACATGTAATGAAATTAACTAAATGGCTAATATTCACTTTACTTTCCAATATCAACAAAAGCAGTTGTCCTGACTCCCTTATTAAAGCTTTTGATGTTTAAGCAAAGTTAAGTCCCAGTGACAGGAACACTCTCTGAGAGAAATTTCAAGTGCTTTAAGAAATGATCAGTTGATGGCATGTCTCTCTTCAGAAGACTTAGGACCAAGGTTAAAATGTGCTAGCATTTCTGAAAAGTTTTTATAAAATTCAGTATCTTGTCCTCAAATAGCAATTTTCTCGGGTATATTTCAAAAGAGCAAGGTGCTAACCTTAGTTCTTTCGTCTAATCCCAAGTCTGGTAATCATATGCTGCCTATTAAAATTCCCCTTGCAGTTCTAATTTAGTAAGGTGGTGCTCAGTTCCTGTCAAACAGCTCAGAGCAATGCTACCAGCTGCAATGCTTATCCCAGAGTGTAACATTTCAGATGTGATTAAATGATCATTTAGAACTGTTCAGGGAAGAAGGTGATTTTTGCATTCATTAAAATCCTTTTCCACTTTTAAATAATAGGTGATTCATATTTTTAAGTGGCCAAATTACCTACATTTAAAAACGTCACAGTGAATTTCAGTTATAATCTTGACTAAGTGAGCTATTTGTCACTGCTATAAACATGACCAAAAAGCTTTAATTTATCACCTGTTTTACAAAGCAAAATTCAAAAAAAAATTCAACTTCAATTTCTTAACTTTTCAAATTAAGAAATGAAGAACTTAATTTCTCATGTTCTTAATTTCTTTCTCAAGAAAATTAGAAAAGGAGATTCATTGCTGCCCTTTTACTCTGTCTTCAATATCGGAGCTGCACATCATGAAAGTAAAACATCAAGTAGATGAGCAAAGGGAAAAGTAATTTAATAATTAAAAGTAATATTCAATAAAATTTTCACTTTTAGCTGGAACCCTGGCATATGGAAGTACTGTGCAGGGACTTAAGAGTTGAGGAACAGGAAAAGAAACAGAAATAGAAGTACTCCTTAAAATACTTAGAGTACTGAAATGTATCTGAAGTTTTAAGCATGTAAATACAAGTAGAGTCCAAGGTACAGTCATTATCCTTCAGGCTTTATTCTATAATTCTTAGAAGAACAAAAAAAGCATTGTTTCCAACATTTCAATGAATCCTCAAAATTAGTTCCATAATTTTGGAATACCTCAACTGACAGCTCTATAATCAATATATTATTGAAAAAAGTTTCTACTATGTTTTTCAGCCTGTATATTCTGGATGTAAAATACTCGTATCGCTTAAGGAAAAAAGAAAAAAAATTATGAAAATGCCCTCTGGCCATTAAAAGTAACACTGCTACGATGGATAAAAGATGTTATTAATTTAAAAACCAAGAGTCAAGGAAACTACTACCCTTTCTTTTAGGGCTAAGAATTATATAAACATTTCATCAACTTCAATATAAGTTATCAGACCTGACTACAAAAAGCAAGCAAAACTAAAGAGGCTTTTTATATTGATTTGTGTGTCCTCAAAGGTGAAAGTAAGTCAACTTAATTTCTGTTCAGCAATACTATACCTTCAAAAAGATAAATTATTAACAATTTTTTGGTTTTTATAGTAACTTAGATATAGAAGAGGCTCATAATACAGTCTAAAAGTCTTCCCTCTGAATGTTTCAGATTTTAAATATTTTCCTCTAAGATTAAAATAGTGCTTAAAAACCTTCAGCATAACTCAGGCCAGTAAATAGTTATTAATCATATTCATGGTTCTTCAGAAAAATGTATAAATATCCAAAGAACAAGCCTCAATTTAGTTCAGATCCAGATACACTATCAAGGTTAATATCAGGTCAGATTTTGCATCCAATTTTTATTTTTAGAACCTTGTAGACTTAGGATGAAAGACTGTAAACTCCAAACTGAAAAAAAATCAGGAAAAAGAAATGTTTGACCCAGCTTAAAACATAGAAGATTAGGCAAAAATTATCTTACCTTTTAAAAGCTTCAAGGTTAACAGCAGAAATTGTAAATTGTTTTTAACAATAAGTTACACACACTGTATTATGGAAGTTTAACTCATTTTTTAAAAAATGAAATGTCTATTATGTCATGACATGAAATAAAACCCACAAATGCTTTGTATTCAAAATCGAAAATGTACAAAACAACAACAACAACAACAAAACATTACTTAACCAGATACCTATGGTTCACAACTATAATCTTAGCTACTCAGAAGGCTGAGATCTCAAGATTGTGGCTTGAATCCAGCCAGGCAGCAAAGTCCATGAGACTCTTAACTCCAAATAAGTACCAAAAAAGCCAGATATGAAGCTGTGGCTCAATTGGCAGAGCATTAGTCTTGAACAAAGGGACACTACCCAGTCCCTGAGTTCAAGACCCTTTATTATTAATAGAATCCGGCAATTGATTTGTTGTCCAACTGATGGATTGAGAAAGAATGCTTATGTTAAGAAAAATTATATATTTTCTTGAAAGCAGCAGTCTTGTGGTGAAGAACATAGCCTCTGGAGCTGACATACTCATTCCAGCTCCAACCTTTAGTCACTTTAAAAAAGCTAGTTAACTCTCTTGTCTCAATTTCCTCATCTATGAACAAGGGAAATGACAAGTCCTTACCATATAGCTGTTGGAGAATTTTTAAATGCTAACAAAAATTAAAAGTAAACTTAGTCATAGGAAGATCCAATAAAAAAAATGGGTGATATTTACAGCTACTAATCAATAGTTTCTGTGAACTTCCTTTCTAACCCAGACTGAGACTTTACATAGGTTTTTAAAACTTAAGGCAAAGCCCATATCAAAATAAGCAGGGAGGTTGGGATAAAGCAGAGAGAGGGGAGAATAAAGGTAAGAATTCATTGTGTATACCACAGAAGTGAGAATAAAATGGAAGGAGGAAATTAAGATGTTGAAGGAATGACACAGATCAAGATGCACTGTATACAGAAACTGCTTTGCTAAATAGCAAAAAAAATGCCACAAAACTTCAATACATAACCTAAATATAAAAGGGGAAAAAGGGGTGAGTTGGGAGGGAAGATATGAATGTTGATAGGGGTGACATGGGTCAAGATGGTGAATGGCAACTTCTTTGGACAACTACTTAAAGGTAATAATACATTTAAAAATAAATAAATCAAGCAATTGTACATATGAAAAAATAAACATATACTTCCCTTGAAATCCATAAATTAAAATAGTTAGCATCTGTACCCGTTATAATATCTAGTAAGTATTACGTGAATTTCTAATTCCTGTTAAGTATAAAAATAGCCCCAAGAAAGTTTATGTAAAAAACTGTAACTAGTAGTTTATATGTATGGGTTTGCTCATTAAGAACATTTGATAAATCAAATTTTCTAATTTCAGATAGATCACTGAGTGTCTCAGCAACAGAAACAAACAACTTCAGTCAATATATAATCTGAAAAAGTACTGCATGAGACCTTACCTATCTTCATCTTTGTCATAGAGTTGGTAATAGTCTCCACAGCCATTCCAAAAGTTGTTACCCCGTTCTTGCGTTCCTACTGTGGCTCCACTTCCTGGTGTTACATTGCTATGTTCTGTTTCCCTTGATGTAACTCTTGAGTAAGGTGGATCCAAAAACATACATTCATGTTCTCCATCAAATTCTTCACACTTTATTAAAGAATCATCCCCGATGCATTCCTCAACTTCCAAAGCTTCCCTCCATCTTTGTACACTTCTTTGTTTAGCCTCATGCCTGTTTGAACCTACTTCCTGATCCACTTGGCTTGAACTTATCACTTTCCTAACTTTTGGCCTTACTACCTGTTCAGGAGAACTTCTACAGTTGCTGTCCCTATCACCTGCATTTTGTTCACTACAAATATGCCCTGGAACACAGGCTGCATCTTCAGGAAAATTTTCTGTCTGTTTTTCCTCATGGTCAATATTATCTTGTGTCTTTCTAACAAATTCATCTTCAGAAGAGGACTGTTGAAAGTCCTGCTTGCTCTGATGGATAAACTCAGCATCATCAGTAGAACTTTTCATTGAAGGTGTGCAATCTAACTCTTCAAATTCCTCTCTTATCTCACAGTTAAAAGCCGGAACTGGCAGTGAAAGACCAGTGAATACTTCTGCCTCGCCATTTTCCAGCCCCATTACTGTACTACCTAATGCTTCCTGATATCCACCACTTTCCACAACTTCTGCAGAAAGTTGAAGACAGTCAGTTTCCTCTCCATGGTTGCCATCTGGATCATAAGAGTCAGTATAAACCAATGCAATTCCATTCTGGACAGTTGAGACATTACAAGCTCCTGGAATATATGCTGTATCAGAGTGACTGTGAAGATTTATACTGCTTCCTAAGGTATCCTTGCCTTCCTGACTATGATGCTCTGTAGCAAAGGATGAATTGCTCTCAACAATTTGGTTCAACGCTGTACCACAAGTGGGAGTTCCTGTTTCACTATTTTCAAATATAGGTTCATCAGATAAGGAAGAATGAACTTGATCCAATGAACTGGAACCTTCAGAGACAAAGGAAAACATTTTGTAGGGATTTAGATCAAATATTATATAATTACTGAACTTAGTAGAAATCACACCAATTATTACCTACTTGAAAATATAAGTAAATTTATTTGGCAACTGCTTCTATGATCTTTAATTGAACTGGTACCACAGAATGGTTACCCTATGAATTCATCTGTCTCCCAGTTTCCTCTCCCTTCTTTCTTTTGGAGACAATTTTTCATCTAAATCCTAATTCTTAAAATCTTCCACAAGACATAAAAGAGAAGTGAATATGATACAGAATGAAAAGCTTAAGTGGAGTCATAGGTAAACACTCTGCACAGTACCCCGTTAGTCTCCAAATTAACCTCCATTTAGTAATATAGACTAAAAAAAAAAGGAAAAACTTCAAATGTATTTATGGCTGATGTAATAACACATCACAGATCCAAGAGAAATGAGGCTCTAATTGTGTTTTAATGTTAATTCAGAGTATTACATCTTAGAGTCTAGATATGTATTTGATTTCTACCCTCAAAACATACTGTTATTATACATCTAAAATGAATTAACTTTTAATGTTATATTGCTATAATTGAAAAATAATGAACAAGTCAATATACTCTTTTTGCCATAGTAAAGATTTTGAGACATGAACAAAATCAAATCTATCTATAGATTATACATAATTTCTTTCATTACTATTAACTTAAAAATTAAAAAGACACAGATTTGCTCCATAAGAATTTGTAAGTTATAAAATAACTAAACTTTAATTGCAAAAATGCTTTATTGGAATTACTGGCTAGAAAAAATTTTCTAGATATATCAAGTTTGCTTAGAACCAAAAGGAGAAACTGAGTCTAGTCCAAAAAGTATAGCAATAGAATATGGATAACTGCAAAACACACATTTCAAACCATTGAATAATTTAGAAATTTTAAATGACTATTATTTGGCATGGTATTTTACAAAATGATTATAAAAATGAACTAGCTAGGCTGAATTACTTAAAACATTGAAAAAAGTTATTTAAATATAATCTGTAGATTGAAAATGTTTTTAGAGAGTAGAGGCTGAAAAATGATTTCTAGCTAACATATGTCACATAACTATAGTTACATTTTTGTGATTGGCTATATTCTAGTTTATTTTTTGTGTAAATATAAGTGTTCTTTGTGTAAATATAAGTATTATAAGTACTATCATTATTAAGTTCCATAAAAAAATTTAAAATAGCATTTATTGACATAAAATGAACTGTATTTACATTCAGACACAAAAAAACCCTTATTTATTAATACAATTACATGTTATATACCTGAGGAATTTTCCTTTGGAACATCATCCAGTTCCAATACTTCGTAGTCATCAAAAGCCCGACCTAAGTTTCTTTCATGCCTGGTCATACATGGTTTAAAACTGACATATGCATGTCTTCTTCCATATCGCCTGCCTGTAATTGTCTGATATCCTCCTGCTGGTTTGGGCCAACCACCCTTGTTGGATTCTTGATCCATCACTAAAATGAATGAATCAATGAGTGAACAACTACTGGGGGGAAAGCATATATACTATTATTAAACAAATCAAATAGCTCTTATGTTCTAAATTATATCAACATCAAGTACATTTTACTACTACTGTAAAACATTTTTCTTAGTAGACATTTCATAAGAAGACATTTGATTGTAATTGAACATAATGAAATGAATTCTTCACACTAGATAAACATGAAATAAGAAATATAATAAGAGTAGGTGGTCTTCAGTGTGTCAAAATATCTTTCAAATTTGATTCCTTTGAGGTATTTTAGATTTTTATACTGAAATCTACCAGAAAAGATTTTGCATATGACAAATTGAGTCAAAATTGTTTATGAGCTAGACAATGATCATCCAAATTACCAAGTATCTTCCATATAATTATTCAATCCACATTAGAAGAGTTTATTATTAGCACATGATGTGATGAACACATTCTTGTCAAAGGCTACAGGTAATCACTTCAAACTGTATTTATACACAAATACAAATACAGTCCAATGCTTAAAGTTAGATAAAATTATCTAATAGTGAGGCAATACAGACCTATGTCTACAATCCCAGCTACTTATGAGGCTAAGATCTGAGGATTGCAGTTTGAAGCCAGTCCCAGCAATAAAGTCCAAGACATTCTTATCGTAAATTAACCACAAGCAAACTGGAAGTGGCTCTGTGGTTCAAAGTGGAAGATCACTAGCCTTGAGCAAAAAATCTCAAGGACAGTACCCAGGCCCTGAGGAAGTCCCAGGAGGGATCTATCTATCTATCAATCTATTTATCTGAAAAGGATTAAGGGTAATGTAACACACATTCAATTCCATCTTTGAAAACTATGATTGAATGTTATATATTACCTCAAAAAAGCTACCAACATTTTAACAATTTAAATATTCAGTTTTGATGACTGAATGTTGAATAAACAGTAGCATCTAAGTTTGTCCAGTCAAATATGTATTACATATGCTATGCCGGAATCAAACATTTTTCTCACAATATATAATATATAGTCAATAAGTGGAACAGTTTCATATTTGTTTCCTAACATTAAAATAAGAAATATAATAAGTTCCAAGCACAAATAAGAAAGAAATGTATTTATAATACAATATCAAGTGTGAAATTATTTTATCTGCTCAGCAATCTTCAGGTAGAGACTGTATTCTAATAACTGACAAAATTAAACTAAATTAAATTAAATGTCCAGGTTACTTGTCCAATAATCTAAGAAGCAATCCAAAGAAATAATTCCAAAGAAATAATATCCAAATTAACCAATCCAAAGAAATAATATCCAAATTGGAATCAGCAACAGAAGCCAAGGCTATCAAAAAGTATCAGAAATTTCCCTACTTGTATACTAAAAGCTAGAGTACCATATATGGTACTCAAGTTATCTAGACAGAAAAACAAGTAATCCTTAATTTGGAAGAAATGACATGTTCCTTACCTGATGGCTCTTTTTCAGTGTACTGAGACATATGGTAATTTCTGTGTGCCTATTTCAGTAGAATTGTGGCTGTGGTTTGAGGTTTACTCACACAATGGATGAGCTGCAAAAGATTCCTACAAAGATACAACATATTGAACAGGATTAGTAATAAAAGCACAAAACATAAATGGCAAAGATGATGCAATACTATCTAAAACAGAGGATCAGGAAAGTATTAATTCTAGATCCAAATACTAACCTAGCAGGAATCACTTTATCACTTTAACTAGAATGTTTGACACAGACTATTTTTAAAGGAACAAAAAAGAAAAGCATAGATGTGGGATGTATATCTCTGAGTAAACTTACAAAAGCCTTGTTTTATTTTTACCTCAATGTACTGTGCCTATTATATTGGCTAACACAGTATGTATTAAAACAGCAGCTGAAAAAAAAAATGAAGCATTGTTTCTTAAGTGGCTGGCTCTTGGCAGGAACTGTCAGTAATAAATAAGACAATTTTCCTTTTTTGAAGCTTGGCAATATAATGGGGGCAGGGAGGTAGCCATCTTAAGTACAACTCCAGTTGATATTTAAGCAAGCTCAGCAGTATAATCTTCTCTTGTTATTTGGCCCTAGAGATTATGTGATAACTCTAACAATGTGTGATATGTAAGATTAGAATAAAAAAACATTATACTTTCCTCTTTGCTATCTCTCAGCTCATTGCCTCTGGAAGAAGCCAAATGCTTTATCATGTGATCATACCTTCATAGTCCAATGCAAAGTGGTGATCAAGTGCCAAAAGTCACTGAGTTCTACTGTCAGTTCAGTCAATCTTTCCCATAACTATGTTCCCTGCCTACAATTTCACTGTAACTTCATGAGAAACCTTGAGTTAAAAACCACTCAGCCTGAAGTGGCGCTATAGCTCAAGTGGTAGAGTGCTAGCCTTGAGCTGAAGAGCTCAGGGACAGCACCCCAGCTCCACAGTTCAAGCCCCACAACTGACAAAAAAGAAAAAAGAAAAACCACTCAGCCAGGCTGCTTATGAATTTCAGGCCCACAGAATCTGAAATAATAAAACAGAACTACTAAGTTTACTGCAGAATAACAAGTTATCTAGTTACTCTGGGGGTACATACATATACAATGTAAAAACGTGTTTTCTATTGGATTTTCTACCAACTGACAGAACAATAGTTTCATTTTTAATACTATCATAGTAATCTTTTTTTCCCTTTAGAAGATCTATTTTTATTACCAACATGGACAATAAACTAGTAGATAACAATATCCAAATATAAAGGTTATTATTTGTTGTTAATATCAGAACTGCTGCTCATAACCTACATTTCCTATCACTTAATACTCATTAAATAGCTACCTGATCAGAACACTTACTTTAGCCATGACTTAAAATTTTAGGTAGTACAAGATAGACAAACCAACCAAACTCCCAAAAGAATTTTAACCTAGCAATTGGATCTGTAGCAGTGAAACTACCCATTAAGAACCAAAAATATCTTACTCTGTCTTTAAAAAGAAACAAATAGAATTTGTCTTTGTCTTTTCTGTTCTTTCAATTCCATTAGAATATGTCTTAGGCTTTCCCTAAGACATATTCTCTAAAAATGTTTCCTAAAGTTTTTCTTAAGATCAACTTGTCTGCTTGCATTAATTTTTAATACAAAAAGAAATCAATTATGTACACAGAATTTTTGATAATATATACTTATCAGCACACAAGGCTTATAATAAAGAAAAATATTGCCAGATGGCTGTTTCATATATGTTGGAATCAACCACGTTCTCACTCTTGCAAATTGTTTTCAATCTTTTGGTACAGTTCTTGTAATTATTCCTTACATGTTCCATATTCTATCTGCAGAGTTCTTATATCTTGTACTCTCAAGCATACATGGTTACTTATACATACACACAACTGAAAAACTGTCCAAGAGATCTTGTTTTCTAACTAATGGCTACACAATAAATAAGTGCTAAGGTGATATAGTTACTACTATAAACAATTCAACCCATCACTAAAACCAACTGCAATCCTTTTGTACAACTACTTAATAATAGTTCCAATCTCAATGAGCAATGCAAATTTAATACTGCATTATCTTAATTTCATGTGATAGTTAATATTTATTAAAATTCATGAGCATAGAATTTAATGAAATTGAGAAGAATAAATTAATGTAAACTTAGTATCAACATTTTAAGTCAAGAGCAGGAGGGGATGAGATATGATGTGCAATTTCAAACAAGACATCGCCCCAATCTCTTGACATTTCCAAAAGATGACCTATTCTTTGTAAACTAAAACTATCAAGTATTTTCTTAAAAACAAAAACCTAATTTCAAAAAGCAAGTGATACACTACTATCAATTCCTATTAGTTGGAAGCTACAGGTTACTAGAAAAAATTTAAGATACATACCTACCAAACCCCACAAATGAACAACTGTAAAAATGGTAATGAGACATGTTCAAATGGCAGTAATTAAATTAAAATGTACAAATAGGCTGGACACCCAGGGGCTCATTCCTGTAATCCTAACTACTCAGAAAGCTGAGGATCTGAGGATCAATTAAAAGACAGATCCAGTAGGAAAGTCTAAGAGACTCTTATCTCAAATTAATACAACAAAAGGCTAGAAGTAGAGCTGTGGATCAAGTGGTTGAGCTGTACAAGCCATGAGCAAAAAATGCTTAGAGACAATGTCAAGGCCCCGAGGTCAAGCCCCAGGATGAAACAGGAGATGGGAGTACAAATAGGTAGATGTAACTCTAATGATAGGGTACCAGCCAAGAGTACATTGTTTAAGGCCCAGAACCACCACACACCACACACACACACACACACACACACACTCTCTCTCTCTCTCTCTCTCTCTGAAATGAGTTTGATATTCTTGGTATACATAAAGATAATCTGATAAAAGGTATTATAGAAGACAGCTAAGTATGTTTAAATATTACTCTTTTGCACACCACTGTAAAAGAAGAACAGTAAACTCTAAATTGATGAGGGAAAATTATGTTAAATCCTAACTCAAACATATACTATGTCATTAGAAATATCGAAAATAAAAAATGTTACATTTCAACAGTTGAAAACTGTCACTTCTAACGTGTTACAATAAAGAAACTAACTTGCTAAATGTGTGTAAATCATCAAGCTGTCAAAAAATTCAGATATTATATATAGAGAAACACGATAAATGAGGTGAATGGCACATACCCAACACATTAGAACAGTAAAGATTTTCATTTCCTAGAAATAAAAGGGAACAAAAGACAAATTACAATGAAAGAAACCTACCAATCCATTAAAAAAAAATAAAAAGTATTCCTCAAACTTACTCCTCATTAGGAAAACCTCTGACTCAAATGTGATGCAAGTAAAAAGGCTTGGGCCATCCTCATTCTACCCTCTATGGAGATGCCCAGATCAAATCAGTTCAGAATAAAGTACCAAGAGATTTATTTTTATGTCAGTGAAAAGAAAAACCAGGGATCTATAGGAAATAAGACATTTCAGTTACCAAAACATAAAATTTCATTTTATAATGTCATAAAAATGATGCATAAAATAAACTTAAACCCTATAATGTGTGCAAATTACAAAAGAAAGCATGTGTGAGATGTGAATGGAAACATAGAATGAGGCAAAATGCTGAAGCAAGAAGATAACTCTATCTGCACTTCCTTGTACTTGATATTTGAAAAGTTTTGTAAGAAAACCCTTTACTTTTCTTCCCTCCAATAATCTGAAGACTTACATAATGATTTTATGTGTTATATGTTTATCTGGGTGGTACATCATTGTAGAAGGCTCTCTCAAGCACCTTCTAGGTCATTAACTCCTAGCTACTGAAGTCACTTTCTGCCTTCCATCAGTTCAGATTAATTCCTTCTGTCCTAAACTTCCTATAAGTGGAATCATTCAGTATAAACTCATTTGGGTCTGTCTACTATCACTTAATACATTTCTGGGATTAATTCATGTTGCTATAAACGTAAGTTTATTTTCACCTTTCATAGGTATATACAAAGCTGAACTACTCATTTGAAGTGCCAACTTTTGAACATTTAACAGATATTAGTTTTTCCCACCATCAACATAACAGAAATAGGTTGGTTTTCTTATATCTATAGTAAACATGATACTGTCACTTTCTAATCTCAGACATTCTGAAATAATAAGCACAGCTTATTATTACATTTCCTAGATGACTTCATTCATGAAGAACTCACATCTTTCTGTACATTCAAACAAACAAACAAACAAACAAAAAGAAGCTAAATACTGGTGGCTCACACTTGTAATCCTAGCTATTCACAAGGCTGAGATCTGAGGCTTCTGGTTTGAAGCCAACCTAGGCAGAAAGTCAGTGGGACTTTCATTTTCTCCTGCTTACCACTCCCCACTCCCCCACCCCTCTATGAGACTCTTATCTCCAATTAACTACCAAAAATCTGGAAGCAGAGCTATGGTTCAAGCAGTAGAATACTAGCCTTGAGCAACAAAATCAGGGACAGTGCCCAGGCCCAGAGTTTAAGCCCCAGGACCAGTACAAAAAAATAAAATAAAATAAAAATGGGGTTATCTTTTCACTGTGACTTATAAAAGTTACTTGTATTTTTTTCAATGCAAATCATCAATAAGATTTTTTTGTGAACATTCAACCATGGAGAGCCTTGTCCTTTTAATGTTTTCAAAGACAAATTCTGAACTTTATGTAGTATACATATTTTGTGTCTTGTCTATCCCAAGATCATAAAGGAGGTACTCTCATATATTTTCCTTTTAAAGGCACTGAGGTTTCAACTTAAGGCTTCAATCTTGACAGGCAGTTTGCTCTGTTTTGAGCCCTCTGCCATTATTGTTTTTGCTATTTTTCCAATAGGTTCTTACATGTATGCCATGTAACTGTCATGGGGCTTGATCTCAGAGCCTGGGCAGTATCTCTGAGCTCTTTTTGCTCAAGGCTAATGCTCTTCCACTTTGAACCACAGCTCTATTTCCAGCTTTTTGTGCTTAACTTGAGACTCAAGGAGTTTCCTGCTCTGAATGGCTTGGAACAGCAATACTCAAATCAAAGTCTCCTGAGTAGCTAGG